GGGTGCAGCGCGTACATAACCTTGATCCTACAAGATATTTGAATACTCTAATCTAAATCTATACCTATACATATAATACAATTGGAGTGTCTGTAATATCAATGAAAAAATTGCAGATTTCGGGAAGATGATGCATTTGCGTTGCTGATAACGCCTTTAAAAATTTTTGTCTGTCTGTCCGCAGCCTTTGATCCGGGTAATCTCGGAAACGGCTGGGCCAATTTCGACTGGACTTTCACTGGAGGGTAGCTGACATAGACGGGCATGTTATAGGCTACTTTTTTTTTTTAATTTCGCGCTGTCAAAATGGAAACCGGACCGCTATCTCTGGAATGGGTTTGACGAAATTTGGACGGGAATTTGACTGAAACATAGCTGGAAGGTAAATGCACGCGGATTGATGGCCATTTTATACGCGCTAAGGAAGTTTGCGGGCGACAGCTCGTATTCAACAATATAAATATCGGACATTAAGGCACAGTGTGCGGGGTGCGGAGGGCTACCGGCGCTGGGGCACGGCGGGGTAGGCGGGCGGGTGCGGGGGGCGCGGTACCTGCTGCTGCTGCAGAGCTTGCTGCTGCAGCGCCGCCTGCTGCGCCGCCAACTGCTGCGCCTGCACAACACTGCTGTTTACTGAAAACCCACTAATCTATAAAACCGATGGATAGCTCGCTTACATTACAGCCTTTTTGACCGACTTCCTAAAAGAAGGTACTCAATTCGTCTGTTTTTTTATGCGTAGTACGGCATAACTCCGTCGCTAGTGGACCGATTTTGATAATTCTTTTTTTATTCGAAAGGTAATGCTTGCAGGTGGGTCCCATTTTTTGTTTGATTTTTGGAGTCAAAGTCTACGACGTAGTTAAATAGTTTAGCTCAAAATCGCGTGACGAAATTTTGGGTCTTTTTTGCTTTTCTTCGTTCTGAAATAACTGCGCCTGTTTCGATGACACACTGACAGCTAAATGCTACATTCAGCTCCAAATTGTCGGAAATCACATACAGAAAGTACCACAACTTGTAGCTTCGAGTGAATAGGAGAGGGCAAAGCCACACAATTTGACAAATCAAAAGTCTGCGTAGAGTACAATGTTATGTGTGCTAGGGTGTCTAATTTGTGGTAAGGCAGCAATTTTTTGCAAGTAGGGCGGAAAAATAATTAGGGTCTGTCCCACAATTCTTGTAAATACTCAGGTCACAATCGAACGTATAAAATATGTGATGGAAATATCGGATTCTGGTATTCTGACAGTGACGTCACTTTTAAGCTATCTGAGCCTCTATCAGCCAGTGGCGAGACCCCTAAATGTCATAATTGATGTGCCCTTCATTCAGGACAAAGGGTAAGGTCAGGGTAAGCTCAAACTATGAACAAACAATTTAATTATAATTTATATTTTTCTGTGTTTTTAAGGTAAGGCATTACCTCACTGTTATTCCTTTATCTTATAAATGTGCGTAAAATATGCGACTGCAGCTTACCTCGAGCGGGTAATAAATTTGAAACGGCGTATACCTGTACACTTTGTTGCACGGCGCAAGGCTGCGGCATTGGCGAGGCGGCTTGCTGCAGCGCGGCCGGTGCGCTCTGTTGTTGACACTTGTTGTACACAGTATGACCCTATAGCATAGTCTTTGTTATATCCTGTACCTTGTATTTCGAGTGTATTAGAATGAGATTTTAATATACATTGTATGAAGTTGTATGGAACGCTTCGAGAAAGTATATCTGACTTAAAATGTTAGAAAACAGTAAAGTTGTATTTGGGAATAGAACGGTCAGTTGCGCCTGACCAGTAAGTTGACATTACGTCATTAAACATATCATTTATGTCTACATTAAGACAAATCCCTCCGTAAAATAGACTTTTTAAAATTTATTTTATCCCATTATTCCTAGTACACACTTGACGAGTACACCTTAACAGTTGCATTCCATCAATGAACTGGCGCAATGTGAACACTAATGTCTAGCTGTGCTGGCTACTTGTAAACCGGACATAAAAATTAAAACGATACAACGCCATATAGTGACAGCAATAAAATAACCCATAAAAAAGCATAGATTATGCTTGGTTTGGCTACTTTTATACCGGCCATTTGTATACCAGACATAAAAATAAAAAAGATATAACGCCATCTAGTGACAAATGCAATTACCTGTAAATCAGCAAGTAATCCATGCCATTGAGTCACTTTATCATAATGTCGTCGTAAGAGCTCATCCTTTCGCTGCAATTCACACTTCAACTCGTTATTGTCTTCCTTCACTAGGAGTTCAGGTTTCATCGCTGACAGCAGAAACCTGGACATAATCACCAATCACCACCTCTCTATATGTCCTCACTGAGGAGCTCAGAGCGTGCCCTTAGGCAACCATGCTGCACGGATTATTCCCAACCGTCACCCCACCGTCCCCACGTGGAGATAAGCATAAGTTTCATCTGTCCCACCGTTTGCGAAGAGGTGACGGTTGGAACTTATTTTATTTCCTAACTGTTCCATCTTTCACATTAATGATGATAGTGGGATTAAAGGTGGCAAGTATAAAACTTTTATTCTCTCGTGGGGACAAAGCGGGGTGACGGGTGAGAATAATCCAGCTGCACTGCGGGTTGACTTCACACACATATCTTTGAATTTCATCGCCGATGTTCATCATGATGTTTCCTTCACCGTTAGAACTTCAGGTAAATAATATACGTATGAAAATCGAATATCACATTGATAGGCGGGATTCGAACCCAGGATCTGTGGATTACAAGTCAAATTCTTAAACCTCTGAGCCATCGAGGAAAACTACTAAATACCTACAAAACCTACGTCAAGTATAAGAGAAATAGTAGACAAAACTTTTCTACAAAATAACCTATACTCGTAGATCTAATTTGCTAACGTAGCTAAAGTATTACCTCTTTTGCAAGAAGAATGCTTCCATCTGACGGGCGTGGTCTATAAACCTTTCCACTTCTACTTTCACCTCCTCCTTCTCCACGCACGGCGACACCTCCTGCTTCGTCAGCACATTCAGACATGCCTGAAAAGTCGTTTGAAAATAAATATAAAATTGGTTAGCGTGGTATGGACATATGAACAGAGATGATCATGGCTACGAAGGACTGAAGAAACTGAGTCGACTGTGTGAAAAGCTGTTTGCGTAATATGAGATATGATATATGACAGTTGATAGAGATGTATAGAAGAGTATAAGGAGGTACTTGTTGGCACAGAAATGCCAACACTTTAGTAAAACAGCAGGAATATCATGAAGGCAAAGGATTGAAAAGTTGCCGGCGTCAGTATTTCCGTCCAAGAACGACAGAAAGGCATGAGAAGCGTCAATAAATACTTAGTAATTATAATAAAGCGTAAACACACACTTCTTTGTTGCCTAAGATGTCAACAATTACAGCATATTTTCGAATAACTCTTTTTTTAATAAATAGCTCTATACTTACGTCACGCTTTAGGCTATATAAAAAAGTATAGGGCTATAAGTATAGTAGTGAAAATTCACGACGGTAAACATAGGGGTAAATATTTAGGACAAAAACCGTAATGTGGGAAAGAGACCATAAGTTGTTGACAACATCAAGGAAGCAAAGTTCCCATGGTTTGACATCATGTCATGTCATTTTGACATATGCAATTGACATTTTGACAAATTTGAACAGTAAAATATTTTTTTATAATCTTATGCGGATATAATCGCATGGGAACAGCTAGTACTTAGTAAAGCGGGTACCAACTTTCAACCACATGACTTAACGTCAGATTGGATAATAGTCAAGAGTTTATAGGCGTCAAGGGGCGCAACTATGCCTCCCTCTTTTAACGAAACCCATGGCACTTTTTGTCGACACCATTGCAATTGCAGCTTCATTTGTTCAAATATACTATGAATTTTTAATTCAAGAGATACGATTCTCCGGTATAGAAAGCATTTGTTACGAAATTATTTATAGGTTATGTGAATAAAGAAAACATTTACTTATAATACTGTTAAAATTTTTCATTTTAAAACTACAATACCTTTTTACGTTGCTCATTTCAATCAGTAAAAATATAAATACACAAAGACAAGACAGACAAGAAGTTATCTAGTTTTAAACAGACCGAAATAAAATCCACTCATTTTATATAACTAGCTTTCGCCCGTGACTCCGTCCGCGTGGAATAAAAAAATGGTAAAATATAGCCAATGTTACTCACAGATAAGTTTTCTTTCTAACTGTGATTTTTTTTAAATCGGCCCAGTAGTTTTTAAGCATATTCATTACAATCAAAATACAAAGTTTCCCTCTTTATAATATTAGTATAGAAGTATAGATAGCTCCTCGACATAAGTAATAATAGCCTACGTTACTCACAGATAAATTACCTTTCTAACGGTGAAAGAATTTTTATAGTTGGCCCAGTAGTTTTTGAATGAATACATTACAAACAAACAAAGTTTTCTTCTTTATAATATTAGTATATATACATTCTCCAATATTTTCTATAAGTATAAGAAATAAAGATTTATTTACTACTTTTTGACATTTACAAGTACATTTTTAACTGATTTTCGCCATAAACTAACCACAAAGTTTTATAACCACATAGTTATCGCAAAATTGGCTTATTTATAGTAAATATTATACTCAGCATTCAGTAACAATTGATAAACAATAAGTACATTTGTTTTTTATTCAAATTAAAATAAACATGCCATTTTAATACCTACTAGCTGTTGCTCGACTTCGTCCGCGTGAATTAAAAAAATAATAAAAAGCACAGTCGATTTTACTAACAGATAAATTACCTTTTTGACGTTGAAAGAATTTTTAAATTCGACCTAGTATTTTTCGAGTTGTTTCAATACATACAAAAATACAAATCTTTTCTATTTACAATATTATAATAGTATAGATTAAATGGGGAATTTCAAGTGATATCGAGTGTCATAACATTTTTATACATACCGTTATCGCTTTCAATCTCTTTGAGTAAACAGACAGCAATACATGTCTTCCGGCGGTTAACACTGATCTATAGATACATTTAATTAAATGGAGTGTCTGTTTGTAATATCGAAAGAAACATTTCAACTTTCGGAAATATGATGTACGAGCTGTTGCCCGCGACTGTTGTATGCGTGGTATTAGAAAACATACAAACTACAAAAATTACAAAAAGCTACGTATCCCTCGGGAACCGGACATTTCTCGGGGATGAACCTTATCCCACGTATACACCAGACTTTGTTTTATATCTGTGCCAAATTTCAATAAGATATGTTGAACCGTTGCAGAATGATCGAGTAAACTTTAAAAAACTAAATTAATGAATCCCACGGGAACCGTAACTATTCCAGGGATAAAAAGTAGCCTAAGTGTTCTTCCAGAGTATGCTCTAAACCTGTGCCAAATTTCATGGAGATCTTTTCAGCCGTTTAGGCTACAAACGCTAACAAACATCCATCCATCCATCCATCTAAACTTTCGCATTTATAATATTAGTAAGAAGTAAGATTTGCATTGCTGATAACCAAAATCGCATTTAAAATTATTTTGTGACTGTCTGTTTTAGCCGCGTTTGTTTCGGGTAATCTCGGAAACGGTTCGGATTTCGACCGCATTTCTACTGAAGGGTAGCTGACATAGACGGGCAAATTATAGGCTACTTTTTATCTTATTATTACATGACGAAGTCCCGTCAACAGCTAGTCTATACTGATATAAATGCGAAAGTTTAGATGGATGTTTGTTAGAGTTTGTAGCCTAAACGGCTGACCGGATTTTAATAAAATTACGCATAGTTGTAGAAGATAGTCTGGAAGAACACATAGACAACTTAATTGTTTTTATTTACTCATATATCACTCGAATTTTATAGATTTTCTCTAAATTTAAATAGTAGTTAAATTGTAAATTTAAATCATTATTTGACTGTAAGAATAGCAATAAAAGCTTTATTTTAATTTATACCAAACTAATATTATAAAAGTCAAAGTTTAGATGGATGGATGTTTGTGAGTTTGTAATGTAAACGGTTGAACGGATTTCGACGAAATTTGGCATAGACGTAGAGGACATTCTGGAACACATATGCTACTTAGTTTTGCTTTTTTTTTTATTTCCACGCAGACGGAGTCACGGGCAAAAGTTAGTAATTCATATTTTCTTTTCAAAAATTCTAGGTATTGGATTGTATTAGAGTTTACAGTTAAAACTGTGCAATATTATTCTTTTTTAATAATACTGGACTAACCAGTAAAATACAAGTATTAAATATGAGGGACTTTGTTATATATAGTTATTTAAAAAATAAAGAATAAATATATTGTAATTTTACTAATTATATTTATTTATGAAATAAAACCTTATAATCAAACAGTCACAATTTTAAACAGTAAATTAAAATAATGGATAAAATAAATATATACATATCTGGCAAATTTAATTGGACAATTAAACTTTTGACTGAACTTCTTATAAATCTGCGGCTCAATATATTGGGGATATTTACAGATAATACTTATTTTAAATACATTTGATAGAAATCAACTAAAATATTGCTTGTAACACAGAAGGTATAATAATAGTCAAATATCTTGAAGGCTTGAAACATCTGACTGTGGAACACAGGTGAAGCTGCATAAAGAGAAGGCACAGATCTTGAGCCGCCAAGACATTTGAAAAGACTTATACTTTCAAAGTTTTTTCATAACCTCAAGCTTAACTAGCATAATCACACTATTAAGTATATAAGAAATAAAAATTCCCCATAATCGAGTTTTAATTAATTTTAATAGTTTTATCCCATTTACTCAATATTGACATACATACAGACGAATTGAGTACCTCCTTTTGGGAAGTCAAAAATACTTTAAACTAAAACATTGAATTATTTAGGGAAAAAATATCAAATACGATAAAACTAGTAAAATCAGTTACGTAAATACACTTCTATAGTTGCAATACAAAATTTGTGATTCTTAATATCTTGAGAATTATGAACTGAATGTAAAACTGTGCTATATAAGCTAAAGAATACTGAAGACAATTTATTTTCTATAACCATACCACGGTGTTTGGTACGGACTCCTGTAATAGTTTGATTCTTCACCGTATGTTGGCTGTGTATTTTGTAATAGTGGTTGTTGGTAATCTCCATTCCATTGTGGTTCAACTACAGGATCAGAAGGTACATTCTGAGGTCCTTGTTGGAAGGAATTCATTCTAAAATCTAAAGGTCTGTTGACAAATATATCATCATTGTATTGACATTTAGGGACAGGTGGTTCAGTAAGTACTGGAGTGGCAACAGTCCGTGAACTCTGTTCCGTGTATTTGGTTTTCGGTGGTTTTTTCTTCGGTATACGCATTGTTGGCAAAGGCAATGGTTCAGGTTTGAGTTTCGCTGTGACCATGAATTTGTGAAATTCCCCTTGGAATGCGGCTGGATTTTTATTTATTGCTATATTTGTTGGCCGTGTGTTGGGGCTGACACGTAGATTGGAATAAACTCTTGTGGGCAAGGGTGACTTTAGTAAGACTGGGCTATTCGAACTAGATGTAACGGGAGAGACTACGTCTGTCTTTCTTTCTGTTATAGTTTCTTTAGATTCCTTTGTATCTAGATCCAAAACTCGTGTGACTGTATGATTTGGTACAAATGTTTCTGGAACATCGTTATATTCTACGATGACTTTCTTTTTAGGAGTCCTCGGTTTTCTGGGTTTCTTTTCCGGCTTATCTGTTGATGTCTCTTTCTTGACAACATCCTCTTTCTTCTTTTCTTTCTTTGCCTTTTCGTGCTTCTGTTTTTCCACCTGTTCTGTGTCCTTTAAGGATTTGCGTTTTTTGGGTTCCTTTTTATCTTTCATTGGGCTTGGACTATCTTTATTAAGTAAACTTTTTAATATTGGATTGGAAGCCGCTACAGGTTCAGGTTTTGTTGTAATCGGCTCATCAGCTTCATGAGGTGGCGAATCCCAGTTTGATACTACAGCTGCCATATCCTCAAGTTGCTCTTCCGATAGCTTTTTAGTCTTAGCTTTTCTCTTTTGTGTTTTAACTGGTGGCGTTTTCTTGGGCATTGGTATAGTTTCGTCATCTTCTTTCACTTTATCTTTGAGTTCTTTCTTTATGCCATCCTTCCTTTTCCTTCTTGGTTTTGTTATCTTCTTAGCGCTCGGGTCTTCATAATCTGAGTCTTTATCAGAGTCCATATAGCCAACATCCGGTTGCTGAGCTTCTGAGGGTTCCATCTCATCACCTTTCAGCCAAATATCTTCTAGAGCATCCAGTTGGGTGTCATTAGGTGATAAAGGCATCATTTGTCTTTTCATTGATGTCATCATATCAAGGTCCCCTTCTGCCATTGTCATTTCATCGTCATCCATAACATCATGACCAAGGATAGATACAGCAATCGCACCTTCGGATATACTCTTACTAGCCATGGCTCTTTTCAAATGAAGTGGATGTCTCTTCTTCTTTTTCAGACCCTCAATCTCCGCCTCAATGAAGGATTCAGGTAGTTCAGTATTGTTTTTATTACAAAGAATGTCCTGACCGGAAGGATGAGGAGCCGGCACCATCTTCTCTGGCTGTTCTGGATGACAACCGACATCTTCACCTTTAAGCCATAACTCGTAGCGGTCTGGTTGGAAACGTTTTACAAATGTATCCATAGAGATTTTCACCATATCATTACTGCATGTACACTGCAATGCCCGCTTGCCATATTCAACCCAACGCGGTGCAGCAAAGTTTGTAGACTCCGCACAGTTAAATCCATGATTGAAACCAGCGTGATAGCCATACGGAAATGTTATCATGATTTCCCCAGCTTTTTGTGTAACTTTATTCACAGGAACGGAGTATTGTTTTAATATATGTGGAGATATTAATGTCATTTTGTGACGGAGGAAGGCTTGGCAAGTTTTCGCTGACGTTGGGAAGAAACCGGATGCAATTCTTTCAAACCGTTTACCATGTTCCGGTGGGATGGCATACCAAGTTTTAGGTTCGCCAAAATGTAAATAATTTATCGAGTATAAATCCATATCTTCAGTGTGCCAGGCAAATGTCGTCTTCCACATTCCGAAATACAGATAAGCAGTGTTAACACCATCTATTTCAATACCGTAATCGGAGTTTACAAAATCTAAGATTGTTCCGAGGTGATTTATATTCCATTCATTTACATCAGGGTCTGTGATACTCCCGTTTACGTCAGCGCCATATATAGGTGCAACATATGTGACATTCTTCCAATACTTCCTCTCCAGATCGTCGTAATTCGTGTGCCGAGGCGTGCAATACTTCGCGGAGTTCGCCATAACTGCAAACTGCCTCACCGTCATTGACTTCTTCTGTATATTAATTTGTTGAAACAAACCTTGCTTTCCGGTGACCACTTGACATATAGGTGACGGTATTGTGATGTTCAGCTCGTCCAAATTGTATCCCTTCTTCCTTGGAACCCATTCCGGCGGTGGTATCACTTTCGCGAGACCAGCTTTATGAGCTCCCTTCGATTCCATATACTGAACATATTTATTAAAATCTTTAAATTCGTCCCACGTTGGGCGAAACACTTGGATAGATATCCCACTACCGGATCCACCCGATGCATCGTCGCCGGTCACAGACATCGTTTTTTAATAACAAACTTGCATAAAATCAACAATATTTAATCACGCATGAAACACGATTATTTCCCACAACATTGCGTTAGATTGTCTTTGGATTAATAAAATAAGATTGCGTTAAAGTTTTCTTCTGACAATTACATAAATACACACGCGAATACAGTCAAATAATTAGTTGAAAACATTATCAGTAAAATGGCCGACATGAATGAGATGCGCTTGCAATCAAAATCTCTAGGCACCGTAGAAGCCGCATAAGTGGAATTGGGTCACGTACTCACTCAGCCCGACTCTTTTTCGTGTTCAATATTCGGGTTCAACTTATGAAGCTTCTACTAACTACGGTAACACTGATGTAATAACTCTATGATTTTTTTATCCTTATGTTGGTATTGCGGACGTTATTGTGACAGCTGACAAAATAAATTGTATCATTCCCTAAGGTTATCTAGGACGAAAACTTATACAATTCATATCAACTTTAATAAGATTATCATCACCTGAAAAGCCTCCTCGAAGTCCTCCACTAAATTACCGCTGCCGTTTGATGGGGTCGCCATTTTAAGTTCTATAAACACAACACTTTGACACTTGTTATTCGAAATGTCACAATCGTAATCGACAAGATGCCGGCGCGGAGTTCGGGGCGAACTGTATTTTAGTGATGTTGGTGGTAATATTTCAACTCGACATTCTGCGTCACTCACTCACACATAGGTACATATGAAAGAGATGCAAACATTACACAGTTTCTCATCGTTTCCTTTTAAAAATCAATACATGAAATTGAAAATAAACCAGAAATTAAGGAAGAAGTTTATAAAAAAAAACGATTTATTTACATTGAAAAAATTAGACAAAACAATATTTTAGAAATTCAATTAACCATTTCAAAAACTATGCAAACAGTGTTTTTTTAATACTTTATGTTTATCGAACTTATTAAGTTCATTATTTTTTTATTTGCAAATTGCTCTGTCTGGGGGTATCGACCTCTATCCTCAACCACTTTTTGAAGGCTGATTACAAAGTACTACGTATGTACAATAACATGAGACCTACATGGAATGTGATGAACAGAGCTCACATTTATTATCTCGAAGACTGTCAAAGACTTCAGTCTAATAAGCATGCCGGGTTGGTTTAAAAGTATTGTGTACCATTGTATAGCCTACTATAAGCGACCCTCCACTTAAAGTAAAGGAAAAAATTTACAAGGCACATATGGGCACTAAAAGGAACGGATGAAAAGATACTACATGTGGTAAGGAGTAAAAGGTTAGTAAGGTGGGCATGGGCATGTTGATGGCATGAGGGATGAATCACATGTTACAAGAAGAACGTTAGTTATGAGTGTGGTACACCGGTAGAGGTAGACCTAGAAAGAAATATATGGATTGCGTGAAAGGTGACATGATCAAAAAGGGAGTGATGACTGATTAAAACAAGTAGCGCCCACCCTACGGGAGTAGGACAAGGAGAAAGATGATGATGATGTACAGCGTACTAGATTCCTCGCGATCGAGGATGAAAGATGTGAAAGCTCCCTTCATGATCATGTCACCTTTCATGCAATCCATCCATCTCTTTCTATGTCTACCTCTACCAGTGTACCTCCACACTCATAACTAACGTTCTCCTTGTTACATGCGATTCATCCCACCTCAACTGCAACTGCATTACAACTGATGAATGAATCATCAGACGCACACGCGCAAACTCAACGCAAACCCGCTGTTTTTGTTTCTAACAAATTACAGAACCGTTATCTAACAGCTGATCCAAATGTAAATGAACTCTGATGTAAACTAAGCCACGTGACTTTGAAACCTTGAGAACCTAATCGTATGCATAAAAAATTATGTAAAACGCTTCGGTGTTTGGATCTTTCATATTATACGCATATTTATAGCTCTTTCTTAAAATCCTTTCAATTATAAATTGTAAGGCGTCCTAAAAGTGTTCTGTCTGTCTTTGGAATAAGATTCACGTTATCTTTTCTAAAATAAATAAATAAAGTTGTATACAATGCATCAAATTCAAACACTGAATATTTTTGGTTCTTGAATTTTTGTGTTCTTAGGTTTACGTTTTTTTTATCTTTTTTTTTTATATGTCCCTGATACCAACATTACAAAAAGAAAATAATCTTCGAACCATAGATGTTACCAGATATACACTAAAAAAAAATGTAACTCAAAACCATTTTTGGAAACAGTCTTCGTTAAACCTGAATTTTAACAAAACTGTTATTTATAAGAAGATAAGCGAATTAAAAAAAAAATAAGTCCATTTCTGGTTGTTTTGCGCAGTTTCGCGCGCATATGGTCACTTAAAATTTTATCATATACTCTGTATTTAAGTTGACAAATATTGGCCAAAACATACCAAAATAAAAAGATGGCTTCTCTATAACCGCTACACATAACCTCAATTCAGTTTGTAACATTTTGTTGTAGTGAGTTTTATATGTATGTGGATGAAAATAAGGGTATATTGTGTAAAATAACTTTGCCATGGCGGACGCAGCTGCCAGACAGTTGCAATATGAATATAAGGCGGTAAGTGTTTCGTTGATTGTGTTGTGCAATTTCGAGTATATTACACAGGATTGTTTAACACTGGCTACCCATTTTTATTCAACTCCTTGATTCAATTTTCTGATAAACTTACTAAAGTCCTTTAAAACGTACTGGTTTCTATAAAAAAAAACTCTGGAAAACTAAACTATGCTACGTTATTTTCTAGAATTCAAATCTTGTACTCCAAGCTGATGTACGTCTGATAGAACGCCGTGGTAGAGATGAGGCGACGGGCGAGGTGCTTTCCTTGTCGGGTAAGCTTGGTGGGACCAAGATGGGTGATCGAGCACAACGCACCAAGCCAGATAAGGCTGAGGAGAGAAAGGCTAAGTAAGTGATATTTGTGTACAGTACTATCAATAAAGGTGCTATAATCCATATCTCTTTATGCTGTAATCCTTAAATTGTGTTACGGACTCATTGATGTTCCATGTCACCAAGATATCTGACTACTGTATTAGTGATGGGACTCGAGTTGCATTTTACTTGAGTAACTTGAGTCATTTTTATCTTACTCTGACTCAAGTGAAATTTTTGACTACTCGAGTTGCGAGTGACTCCTAACCACTTTGTTGGTTTATACTAAGCGGAGTAAGAAATTCTTACAGCATTTTCAGTTAAATTTGTTATCTTTTTAAATAAAAACACACTATTTCTGTCCTTTTGTTGAGTTTATTTAAGATTCTTTTAAGTTAATTTTAAAGCATGTTTATTATCAAAATTGTGTAAGAACAAAAAACTTTTCATATTTGGATCTCATGAAAATTACTTGTTAGAATTAATTAAAATGGATTAGAACTTATTAGTAGTACATTATAAAATTTCAACTAATAGTTGATATGAGAGGTTTCTTGATTATGTTGACAGGTTTAGTTTAAAGGAAAATACCGTTTTTACACATTTTGTACAGATTTTTTGAGTAGTATTTACGTTAATGCGAAAATAAATTCTTTATGTTAAATTAACATTGTTTTATTGGTTTTAAATTTTAGTTACTCTATTTTTATATTCCGAGTGACTCGCGTCTGTAGACATCACTCGAGTCTTATCTTCACACAAGTGGCATTCAAGTGAGAAAGTTACGAGTACACAGTGACTTGAGTGTAAAAAAATCACTTGAGTCCCATCACTATACTGTAATGCATTTGCTCTATAGGAGTGCACACTTTTGACTAAACTGTTCCATAACTTTAGTCTCACTTTGATTCCTTTGAGCTTATATGTAGGTGTGCATAGTACTCGAATTTTAGTTATGCAACTAAACAGTTGGATTGGCTGCAAAACAATTGACAATCTACAATTATACAACAGTTCTTAAATAGTTTAGTCAATGGTGTGCACCCACTCTAAATTATAAATGTCTATGGTTTGTTAGCATCTTCTATTAAGAAAAATAATCTATCAACATTGATACATGTTCAACATTATTACAGACGTCAGAAACGTGACGAAGCTACATACGAATTGTCTAAATCGAAGACAGCCCGTGCAGCATGGGCTGATGATACACCGGGCGTGTTATACCGTCCGAGGACACAACACACGCGGCATGCGTATGAATTACTGCTATCCTTTATGCAGAGCACACTTGGAGATCAGCCTAGAGGACTGCTGTGTGGAGCTTGTGATGAGGTGGGTATGAGATAGGTTAATCATGACATTTTTTAACATCATGACCTCATCCTTCACTGGAGACATGTAAGGTTACCCATCCTATAGATAAAAAAAAGTTTTTAGTATAAAATTTAAGTATTTATTAAGTGATGTACATTCAGAGATGAATTAATGCAATGTTTTATAAGGCTTCCTGCCTTTTGAGCCTTACATGATTAGTGGATGATACCTAACATGCAGTGTCACTTCCCAACTATGACTCGGGTTCAGTCATCACTGAGTCTCACCTTGGGTTCTCTAAATCCTAGGTTTAAAAAATATTTATGCTTCTTCTATAGGTCTCTGACCATAAATATTCTAGTTCTGTATATTATAATGTTTTATAATGCTTGAATACATATGAAGCTGATTGTACATGTCTGTTTTAATGACTTTTTACTTGATTCACATTATACTAATACAGTTCGACAGTAGGGCAATATCAGCGCTGGCATAAAACTGGTATAATAGTCATCTAAAACAATCCTTGTCGGGCTGCAACTGTCCTCTTATACTGGCATAAACACAAAAGATAATAGACCCTTATGTTTGCTTCTGAAATATTCCAGGTCCTAATGGTACTAAAGAATGATAAACTAAAAGATCCGGAAAGAAAGAAAGAGATAGAAGTTCTAATTGGTGCGCTACCAGATGAAAGGTTCGCATTACTAGTGAACCTTGGCAAGAAGATTACTGATTTTAATGTAACATCGTCCGAGGGTAACACAGAAATAGATGAGACATATGGTATTAACGTGCAGTTTGAAGAATCTTCGGAAGAAGATGATGAGGATGCATACGGAGAGGTAATTCTTTTATTACTCTTTCAAAGGTTTAACAGAGACTAGCTGTTGCCCGCGAATTCGCCTGTGGGAAATTATTAAACAAAGTAGCCTATGGTACTCGTGGATAATGTAGATTTCAAATGGTGAAGGAATTTTAAAAAATGGTCCGTTTTAAAAGTTATGTTTATAATTTACTAGCTGTTACCCGCGATTCCAACCGCGTGGAATTAAAAAAAAAGTGAGTAGCCGATGTGTTCTATCAGAATCTTTTCTACATCTATACTAAATTTCATCGAGATCTGTTCAGCAGTTTAGGCTACAAACTCTTACATACATTCATTTATACTTTCGCATTTATATTATTAGTGTATTTAATAGTTTGAATATATTTTTCAGGTGCGGGATGAGGATAAAGAGGAAGGGGAGGGATCGGACAATGAGCAGGGGAAAGAGAGTAGTGCAGAAGATGATAGTGATGGAGAAGGGAAGAAGAACAGCATACATGCTAATGTGAGTAATGTTTCTAATCAGAGTAGCTTTTGCCTGTGACTTCATCCATTAAAAAAACATCCAGAAAGTGATAATCTGTACCAAATTAACATATACATTAAGATCTGTTGATTTATTTTACAGATATATTTAAACATCCATCCATTCAAATCTTAGGCATTTAATATAAGTAAAATGTTAATAAAATTGTATTACAATTTTTAAATATTATAAGTCAAACTACATTGGTTCCTACAAAAATGTATATTTGCATCCTTCTCTCTTCCATTTAAAGAACAAAGACAAAGCTATTACTTTTTCTATTGTTTATTTTTGTTATTAAATAAGGTAGCCACCGTCTAAATTTATTATAAACAAGCAACCACTACACATATATAATCTGTAATTTTAGATGCGTTGTTTACCTTTAATCAACAGAGGAGGGGTTGCAAAGAAAAGATGTTTTTTTCTTTCTATGTGTCCACATCTATGCCTAATTCACTTCCTATTTCCATAATTTCTTTTATGTGTTGGTAACTACACCAAAAGAGGATATTTCCCCTTCCTATACGTCTCATCCCCTGCCAAATCAACTAATACGAAGTGTAAACTCATGTAGTGACGTCACGTTTCCAGCTCTCCGAAGAACAAACACAGAAGCGACGAGATGCGACTCTTCATCCAATGGATATAGACGCGTACTGGCTGCAGCGCCGCCTCTCCCGGCACTTCCCTGATGCCATGCTGTCGCAGGCTAAGTCCAGTGAGGTGAGAATTACTAGGAAACAGTTACTAATTTTACTACCTTACTAATTATTTTCGACTATTGTAAACCATATGTATAAGTCTAGACCAAAGTTATAATGGTACATGAAAACTTTTTTTTGTTATTTCTAATTGTACTGTATTGTTGATATGGATTAAATGTCGTTTTTTTTATTTTATTTTAAATACTAGCTGTGCCCGTGCCGCTTCATCCGCATCAAAATAATTTAAACCTTATTTTATAGTTTACATTTGTCAAATTCACAATTGCAAATGTTAAAATTCAAATACACAAATTACAACGAAGGCCTTTGACATTGGCATGGCAACCTTGCTTTAATGTCAGCTTGTAGTTTATGCTCCCTTTTGGACATGAAGGCTTTATTTTTCTAATTTATTTACCCCTAAGTTGCATAGTTTGAATACATATAGACTATATGTATTCAAACTATGTAGCATGTAGAAAGTGTAGATTTTTTTATGAAAAAGAAATCCACTAATAATATCTATATAATGCTTCAGTAACTCTAATTTCGTAGAATTTGAATTACATATTTGTATGTGTTAACTAGTTTTTCCCTGCTACTTCGTTCGCAATGTAATTAAAAAAAATTATCTTTTTTATCTGTTTGTTGTAATTCCAGGTGATGAAGGCTCTCGCTGAGGCGGCAGACGACCGAGACCTGGAGAACAGACTAGTCTTGTTACTGGGTTATGATTGCTTTGACTTTGTTAAAGTACTCAATAAATATAGATATACAAGTAAGTTTTTTTACTATTACTTACTACGTCAGTATGATTAAAAAACATAATTGTTTATTTTTATAACACACGACTACTGTCTTTCATATTTTTCTTCAATTTCATAAAATAAGTACTGTTAAGAACAAAATTAGTACTGTGCTGTAGAGTTGGCGCAACACTAGATTATCGACATAAACGTCACGTCCCTAGCTGACAGCTGTCAATGTCAATAGAAGTATGGATTTTGGCGCGCATCCTGATTCCTGACGAGAAGTGTTGCTCTGAGTTTAAAGCGACAGTATTATTTCAATAAATTTGTCTAATTTATAATATAAAATGTCTAAATAAAGAATTTTTGTCATTTATTATCGATGGATTTTGTAAAGCTTTATTTTTTTTAATTGACATAGTCATGTCTGTTTGTAATAAGTCTATGTACAGCGTTATAAAGGTAGTTTTGTTATAATTTCTTATTTCAATTGAAAAATGACAACGAGTTTTAATATTCACATCCCTTTTGCACACGACTTCTGCTTGGAATTAACTTAGTAGCCTATATGTTTCAAACTATGTTCTACATCTATACTATTATAATAAAGCGTAAACACACATTTCTTTGTTGCCTAAGATGTCAGCAATTACACCATATTTTTGAATAATTCTTTATTTAATAAAAAGCCCTACACTTGCGTCACGCTTTAGGCTATATATTTTCACGCCATTAAACTTAGGGGGTAAATATTTTGGATAAAATCCTAATGTGGAAAAGAGACCATAACTTGCTGCCAACATCAAGGAAGCAAGATTTGACATTTTGACATTTGCTATTGATAATTTGAAACATGTAAACAATAAAATAAAATTTTCATAATTTTATGCGGATGAAGTCGCATGGGAACAACTAGTCTGTGATAAATATCAAGATTCTTTAATATGTTTTAGATATACATATTATAGTCCGTCCAAACTTCTTACCAATCATTACTAAATATCTTACTAACATTATAAATGCGAAAGTTTAGATGGTTGTTAGAGTTTGTAGCCAAAACTGCTGAACGGATCTCGATGTTTGTAACTACATAGGCTACTTTTAATTTTAATACTACGCGGATAGAGTCGCGGGCGAAAGCTAGTATAATATTAGGAAGATTGCATTTTTAATATATATGTTAATTCCAGTCTTGTACTGCACGAAGTTGGCGTCATCACAGTCTGAGAACGAGAGACAGAGCATCCGCGAGGAGATGTCCCGGCAGCCGCATCTGATGAAGATCCTGGCGCAGCTGGAGACAGGGAAGGGGGATGAAGAGGTGAGAAAATTATTATATAAAGGTTGTTGGCGAAATCGAACTTGTAGTTTTTGAGTTATTTCAATACATACAAAAATTATAATTATAATTTATTTTGTATGTGGAATATTAAATAACTAAGTAAAATTTACTTACATAATATTAGTATAGATGAAAGAGCAATTTTCAGAACTTAAAAAAGTAAAAAATATTCGAAGTCTGTTGTTACTTATTATTTTATTAGATAATCTATATCTATACATATAATAAAATTGGAGTGTCTGTGAGGAGTGAGAGATAACGAAATCATTTAATTTTTTGTCTGTCTGTCCACAAGCGTTTGTTTCGGGTAATCTCGGAAACGGCTGGGCCAATTTCGACGGGACTTGCACAGGAGGGTAGCTGATATGGATAGGCATATTATAGGCTACTTTATTTTGAATTCCGCTCTATCAAAATGGCGTATCAGGTGGCAATTTGCGTTAACATTTGCGGGCGACAACTCGTCTTAAAGAAAATCGATTACCGAGTTACTTCCAATATCATAGATATTTCTAAACATCCTGTTTATAGTATACTAGCTGTTCCCGTGCGACTTCATCCGCATACAATTATGAAAATTTTATTATATTGTTTACATGTGACAAATTATCAATAGCAAATGTCAAAATGACATGACATGATGACAAACCATGGCAATCTTCCTTCCTTGATGTTGGCAGCGACTTACGGTCTCTTTCCCAGATTAGGGTTTTGATCCAAAATATTTACTCCCTAAGTTTAATGACGTGAAAATATATAGCCTAAAGCGTGACGTAAGTGTAGGGCTTTTTATTAAAGAAAGTATTATTTAAAAATATCGTAATTGCTGACATTTTATGCAACAAAGAAGTGTATGTTTTCGCTTTATTATAATAGTATAGATAGAAACAAAGTTGCCTTTCGACTAAATTATGCATTCTAAATATTTCAGACGGCTCAGCAATCAGAAGCACCTCGTAAGCGTCAGAAGGCGGAGACGGAGACGGTGGAGGGAGGTGGTCAGGTGTTAGGCTCGAGGAAGGTGCTGGCTCTGGATGAGCTGGTGTTCGCAGCGGGATCACACTTTATGGCCAACAAACGGTGTCAGTTACCACCAGGGTCTTTTAGAAAACAGAGAAAAGGTTAGTTGATACCATAGACATTTAACTAAAGTATAGACTAGACAGGGAATGAGATTTTTTCACCGGTAACTTCTTTGTATGGTGATATCTCAAAGTTTAACCCGCTGAGATGTTTCTCGGTGTTTAAATTATTTGTTTCTTTGTAATTTTCATTATCAGACACTAGTGAGATTATATGTAAATTTTCAAGTGAAGTGTCAGTTATGCCAACTCTATACAGTTTTTGAATCTCTTTGGTTCATACTAATAAACGATATGGATTATTAGTGATTTGTGAACTTTCGCTTTCAGATTCAGCTAAAAATAAAGTTTCGATTACGGCCATAATATACCCGAAATTTTAGTCTGTCACAGGTCAATTTTAATCGAAAATCTGATATTTGGAAATTCATATCTTTAGAAAATCGTGGAACTATAAATAACAATACTTTATACATGAATTAAATACTTTTGATTGGTAAAATTTTAAAATTATATTTAAAATAGCTTCCGCCCGCGACTCTGTTCTCATGGAATAAACAAAAACAAAAGTAAGTAGCCTATGTGTTCTTCCAGACTATGCACAACATCTGTACCAAATATCATCAAAATCTGTTCAGCAGTTTAGGCTACAAACTCTAACAAACATCCATCCATCTAAACTTTTGCATTTATAATTTTAGTAAGATACTCTAAACGTTTTCGGAACTTACAGTTTCGGTCACAATCATCACTAACTTACGTCTTATTTGCAGGTTACGAAGAAGTCCATGTACCAGCCTTGAAACCTAAACCATTTGATGAAGACGAGACTTTGGTTGCTGTTGAAAAGTTACCTAAATATGTACAACCTGCGTTTGAAGGATTTAAAACATTAAATAGAATACAGGTAAGAATATATTTTATACTGGCTGTTGTTCGGGGCTTCGTCTACGTGTAATTAAAAAAAAATAGCCTATGTCACTATCAGATAAATTACCTTTTTAAGGGTGAAGTAATTTTTAAAATCGATCCATTGGTTTTTACGTGAATCAAATACATACAAAAATATAAATATTTCCTCTTTATAATATTAGACTAGCTGTTTTCGTGCGGCTACATCCGTGTGAAATTATAAAAACTACATTGTTTACATTTGTGAGATTCTCAATTGCAATTGTCAAAATTATCGTTACCATAATAACCTTCTAATGTTGACAGCTTGTAGTTTATAGCCTCTTTTCCACATTAAGGTTTTTTTCCCAAATTATTTACTCTTAAAGTTTAGTATTTTGAAAATATGTAGCCTACAGCGTGTCGCAAGTGTAAGGTTTTTTAATTTAAAAGAGAATTATTAGAAAACATACTGTGATTGCTGACTTCATACATAACTAAGTAGTGTGCGTTTATGCTTTATTATATTAGTATAGATGTAAGAATTTTAATGATCAACTTGTCAGTACTTACTTAAGTTAGTGAATATTACATAGTCAACCATGCTGCACTGGTGGTTGGTTGACTTTACACATATCATTTCTTACATATGTGTATTACTTTTCCTTCACTATTAAAACGTCGGGTAAATTATATACATATGAAATTCGAAAAATCGATAATCAGATTGGTACAGCGGGATTCGAACCCAAGATCTGTAGTAAAATGCCACCACTGAGCCAACACAAACATGTTATTTTAATATTACAGAGTCGTATATCAAAAGCAGCGTTAGAAAGTGACGAGAATCTCCTAGTTTGTGCTCCGACCGGCGCTGGTAAGACGAACGTGGCGTTGCTTTGTGCGTTACGAGAAGTTGGGAAACATGTTAACGATGATGGGACTGTGAGTGTGCAAGACTTCAAGATTATATATGTAGCGCCGATGCGCTCGCTCGTACAGGAAATGGTATGTATTTAAGTAATTTTAATAGTGTAATTAACTTCAACCAGAGATTAAAAAATTGATAGTGGTAGTGCCCGCTTTAACATCTTAGCACTGCAGGGCACGCCCCCAGTAATACCACGACCACACAGAAGACAGCCGTGAAATGGAAGCAAATCCGTGTACAGTCTGATGAGTGTGGTGCCGGAGGCCTAATTTAAGTCCCTTTCTCTTTACCACCCTTTTCTTATAAGAAGAGGTTGGGAAGAGGAAGTGGATTTGACGGTGGAGATGCATAGGAAGGGGAAATAACCTCTTTATGTGCGTCTCCTCCTCCGTCGTATAAGGGTAGGCAGCGCATCTGCAATTGAAGATGTCTATGGGCTGCGGTCGCTTCGCCATTTTGGCGGTTTCAGGTGGCCGCTTGCTCGTTTGCCACCTTATGTTATAAAAAAAAATATATATATATATATAGAGAAAGTATAGTGGTAGAGCTTTAACATCTTCGTACTGTAGGGCTCGCCAGCAATACCACGATCACACAGACAGGCGTGAAGTGGGAGTAATTCCGCGTTGCGTCTGATGAGTGTGGTACCGGAGGACCAACTTTAGTCCTTTTTCCTTCTCACCCTTTTTCTTAAGAGTAAAAGATGGGAAGGAAAAGTTGATTCGACGGCGCAGGATACGCATAGGAAGGAGAAACATCCTCTTTATGTGCGTCTCCTCCTCCTTCAAATAAGATTAAGCAACGCATCTGCAATTCCGGATGTCTATGGGCAGCGGTCTCTTTGCCATTTTATCGGATTCAGATGGTCGTTTGCTCGTATGCCACCTTAACACATATTCTAGAAAATGGTATCGATGTAGCGGATAGTCTAAAATAACAGATAGGCACTTTTGTTTTTTTTTGTCATACAATCCAAAGCTAGTAAAAAACACTAACTTTCCTTCCTCTAAATCAAGACATTGTCCCCAGGTGGGAAACTTCAGTAAACGTCTCGCAGCTTACAATATGAAGGTATCAGAATTGACTGGAGATCATCAGTTAACGAGAGAACAGATTGACGCAACACAGCTGATTGTGTGCACACCAGAGAAATGGGATATTATTACAAGGAAGGGTAAGGGCCGTTTTAATTTTTTATTTTTTTTGGGTTTAGTATATGCAATTATCTAGACTATAAAGGGAAGATTTGTTTTTGTATGGATTGAAATAACTTATAAACTGGGGCTTGAAATACCACTGAGTAACAACTTTTTTTATTTCATGTAGACGGAAAAAGGTTTGTATTTTTGTATGCATTGAAATAACTCAAAAACTACTGGGGTGATTTTAAAAATTCCTGTACTATTAAAAGCTACGTTAAAATCCAGTATCATAGGCTATATTTTTTCCTATACATTCTACGGAGATAAAAATGGTTTTGTAAGGTTGGCAGTTAAGGACATTTGTGTACATTTTTAATATTTTTTTTAAATGTGTTTTCCAGGTGGAGAAAGATCGTTCACAAATCTAGTACGTCTGATAATCATAGATGAGGTACATCTTCTCCATGATGAGAGAGGACCCGTGTTAGAAGCGCTCGTAGCAAGGACTCTACGTACTGTGGAACACACGCAGGAGGAGGTAAATAAAGTTGCGTTCACATTTACGAAACATTAACAAAAAACATCTACATCTACAGCATCAAGATGTTGATTATAAGATTTTGTTACGTTGACTAAAAAAAAAATGGACTAGACAAAGAACTATCGTTATATGCCAATATAAATAGAAAATGTTTTCTTTGCTCGGAAATTACTGAACTGACTTAAAAATAATTTTTATTGCCGTTTGTTTTGCCACTTTTGTATTAACGTGAGGTTTTTGGTTAAGATAAAACTTACATTTGTGCTCGTCGTCCTGACATGTAAATTTGAAATATCTTTATTTTTATGGATTTTTTTTAAGAACGCATACTGTTTTAAAAATGTAGCTTTGCGTCTACGAGTTACACAAATTACTAAATATGATATTTGTTGACGATTTTTGTTTGACAGAATGGAATGCACGAGTCCTGTCTTTTAATAATCAAAGGTTTTCCACAATTTGAAACATTCCAGGTCCGTCTTGTCGGTCTGTCGGCCACGTTGCCCAACTACACTGATGTCGCTGCATTCCTGCGCGTGCGACCTGAAAAGGGACTGTTTTATTTTGATAATTCTTTCAGGTAAATGTAAATAAATATTTAGACATCATTCAAATTGCTTTATCATAAATCTTGATTTCAATAAAGTAGAAAATTCCTATTTCCCATAGATATCGCTTACTTGTTACCGACAGCGCGGCACCAAAAAATACACTTTCATTCTTTGTAACATATTTATAACACTATATACATATTTATTTTATATTGTTATGCGAAAAGACGATGGGGACATGAACCAGAAAGTGTTAAGATTGAATGTGAATGGCTACAAAGGAAGTGGAAGACCGAAGAAAGTATGGATGGATTGTGTGAAAGAGGATATGCTTAAGAAAGGAGTGGATTCAGATATGACGGTTGATAGAGATGAGAAGAGCAGCACATACTGTGCCGACCCTCCGTAAGGGATAAGGGCAAGTGGATGATGATGATGACATATTTTTATTATAATTGGCTTAAATCTATTTCAATCACATCTTGATCGCTTTACACTTCCCGCGCTTTTCTTGTTTTTCACTGTAACTTTTTTAATATTAAAATAGGTAAAAGACTTGGTCGCTAGTACGCCACCTCTTTGATTATGAACTCCTTGTTAATCAATTTTGGATATTGCATTGAACAGCATTCCCTACTATAAATCGACAAAGGACTGGATGCACAAAGAGAAAATTACCCCTTACTGTACATCCTCTGTCAATAGGCAATATGCATATGACGCCAAATTGGATCAAACATTTTTAAGTATTTTTTATTACTATAAAAACATACCTGTAAAAAAATTTTTGATGAGTAACGTCACGTGTCTCATGACAACTCCGGTCGCGTTTTAAACGTACGAAAATGATCGTAATTTTATTTTATTATTTCTAGCTCAATGGTTGAATACTATATTTTCGAGTCAATTTTTTTTCTGGTTATTTTATAACAAGTAGAATCGTTTAGAAAAAGAAAAAAACATACATGTATATTCCCTATTCTTCTTACATTTGCCATTTATTTCATATAAGATGTTATAATTATAACCGATATATCCTTTTAACGATGTAATATATTTTTTTATAATACCAGGCCAGTAGCACTGGAACAGCAATACATCGGTGTGACAGAGAAGAAAGCGCTGAAAAGATTTCAAGTTATGAATGATATTGTATATGAGAAGACAATGGAGCATGCTGGCAGGAATCAGGTGAGTTCCATTTGACCATAATTTACCATCAACGACCATAAGTTACTACCAACGACCATAAGTTACCATAAACAGTGGTAGAGCCTTCTTTAACATCTTCGCATGAATGGGCCGGCTCTCCCGGTATAATATCACGACCTCACAGAAGACAGGCGTGAAGTGGAAGCAATTCCGCGTTTCGTCTGATGAGTGTGGTGCCGGAAGCCTAATTTTAGTCCTTTTCCCATTCCAGTCTTTTCTTAATAGGAAAGGATGGGAAGGAAAAGTGGATCTGACGGCGGAAGAGACGCATAGGAAGGGGAAATATCCTCTTTATATGCGTCTCCTTCTCCGTCAATTAAGGGTAGGCAAAGCATTTGCAATTGCGGATGTTTATGGGCAGCGATCGCTTTCCATTACGGTGGATTCAGGTAGCCGCTTGCTTGTTTGCCACCTTATATTATATAAAAAAACGACCATAAGTGACATCAATGAACATGACTAGCTGTCAACGACCACAAGTTACCACTGACCATATGTTGCCACTAACGACCACTAGCATAATAAGTCTTTTTTCTGTTTATTAGATCCTAGTTTTCGTGCATTCCCGTAAAGAGACGGGGAAAACTGCGCGTGCGATTCGAGACATGTGCTTAGAGAAAGATACATTAGGACAGTTTCTAAGGTGAGTATAACAATAAGCAAAAAAAGCAAAAATGACCCTAAATTTCGTCACGCGATTTTAAGCTAAACTATTTAACTACGTCGTAGTCTTTGACTCCGAAAATCAAATAAAAAAATGGGACCCTGGAGCTTATTATAATTTAGTAAAATATTTTATTACATGTCAATACCGGTGAAAAAATGTCCACTGTCTATGTATTTTAAAATGTCTGCTTTTGTACTGGTTCGTCCAGTATATGAAGACGTCTAATACTAAACATTTTGTTGATAGAGAGGGGTCAGCGAGTGTGGAAGTGCTGCGTACGGAGGCAGAGCAGGTGAAGAATCCGGAGTTAAGGGAATTATTGCCGTACGGCTTCGCGATACATCACGCCGGTATGAGCAGGGTGGACAGAACCCTCGTTGAAGATTTGTTCGCTGATAGACATATACAGGTATATTTAATTACTAGATATTGTCCGCGAAGCATTAAAAAAACATACAAAAATACTAGGCATCCCTCGGGAATCTAATATTCGGTTTAAACCATATCCCATGTGTTGTTTGTTTTATTTCTGTGCCAAATTTTAATGAGATATGTTGAAACGTTATAGAATCATAAGTAAATATTAAAAACAATATTAATGTATCCCATGGGAACCATAACTATTTATTGGGACAAAAGTAGCTTATGTGTTCGTCCAGACTATTTTCTACATCTGTGCAGAATTTCATCGAGATCCATTCAGCAGTTTAGGCTACGAACATCCATTCAAACTTTCGCATTTATAATATTAGCAAGATTGTCCTTTTTTATACCTTTCGACCCAACGGGAAACGCACAAAGATGTATGAGGGAATATTAACTAGATGTCTTGATGCCCGCGACTTCGTCCAAGTGAAATTAAAAATATGTAAAACAAATATAGTGATACATAGTTTTTTAATAGTCAAACAATTTTTTTTTAATGGCCCAGTTTTTGAGTTATTTCAATACATACAAAAATACAAATCTTCCCTCTTTATAATATTGGTATAGATATAGATTATTTACTGTTTTCCCAGGTGTTAGTGTCAACGGCGACGTTAGCGTGGGGAGTGAACCTGCCCGCGCACACAGTGATAGTGAAGGGCACGCAGGTGTACTCGCCGGACAAGGGCCGCTGGAGCGAGCTGGGCGCGCTCGATGTGCTGCAGATGTTGGGTCGTGCTGGACGACCTCAGTACGATACTAAGGGAGAGGGTAAGTTAGTTGATGTAACTTGGCATTTCACCCATAAATATCTGAATTTAATACCGGGGTTATAAATCTTTTTGGATATTTACAAACGATTTTTTTTAATATTATATGTTGGTCGCGACTTTCTCCACGTGAAAATAAATAACATGGCCTATGTTACTTACACATAAATTACTTTTCTTAGGGTGAAAACAATTTTAAATCGGCTCAGTAGTTTTTGAGCCTATTCATGACAATCAAACAAAGTTTTCCTCTTTATAATATTAGTATAGAAGTATACGACTTTGACTGATAATCTTTAAGGTAGAAAACAATATAGATCCTATCACGAATATGTTACTACCTTTGAAGGTATGGATTTCTCGGCAAAAGAACTAAAATAAGTGTGTCACACTAATCACTTCTCGCTATTTTTCTGTGTGATATCTATAGTTTAGCCGTGTTATAATTTATATAGTATAATGTCTAACGAAAGTTTTAATAAATTAGTTGATAGCTATATTGTTAATAATTTAATATTACAGGTATCCTGATAACGAACCACTCGGAGCTGCAGTACTACCTGTCGCTGCTAAACCAGCAGCTGCCGATAGAGTCCCAGCTGGTGAGCAAGTTGCCGGACATGCTCAATGCGGAGATCGTCCTCGGCTCAGTGCAGAGCGTGCGGGATGCTGTCACATGGCTAGGTTAGTGTTATATTAGTACAAGCCACTTGTGAACTATGTATAAGACATATGGATTATTTATAAGCCACTTGTGAACTACGTATAAGACATATGGGTTATGTATAAGTCACATGTGAACTATGTATAAGACATGTATTAAGTACTAGCCACGTGTGAACAATGTACAAGCCACGTGTGAACTACGTATAAGGCATATGGATTATTTATAAGCCACTTGTGAACTACGTATAAGACATATCGGTTATGTATAAGTCACATGTGAACTATGTATAAGACATCTATTATGTACTAGCCACGTGTGAACATAGTACAAGCCACGTATGAACTACGTATAAGACATATGGATTATGTGTAAACCGCGTGTGAACTACGTATAAGCCATGTGTAGATTGTAGCTTTTACCCGCGACTCCCGTTCGCACGGAACTATAAAAAATGTAAATAACCTATGTGTTCTTCTAGACTATCCTTTACGTTTATGACAAATTTCATCGAGATCCTTTCAGCAGTTTAGGACACAAACTATAATAAACGTCCTTGAATCTTGTATAGATTATCCATCCATCTAAAGTTACGCATTTATAATGTAAGTAATATGTAAGCCGCTTGTGAATAATGTAAATGCCATCTTCAATTTTTTTTTTAACTTTTATAGTCCGACATTTTTGCATTTCTTGTAGTTTCTTGTAGATCATTTTCAAAATTATACTATTTTCGATAAATCGCGGGAAAATAATTCTTCAATTTGTGAACCAACAACATTATTTACCTGCATCGGGACTTCTATGAAATTTAAGTTGTATTATGTTGTAAGTATGTAAAATAATTTCAGGTTACACATATCTGTATGTACGTATGTTACGAGCACCATCTCTATATGGAATATCATCAGACAAGATGCAAGAGGATACATTACTGGAGTTACATCGAGCTGATTTGATACACACGGCCGCATCGCTTCTTGATAAGTTAGTACTCACTGTTATTGAGTTTTTAAGTGTAGGATTCGATTTTTATATTATATATTATTTATTGCATTGACTCAATCCGCGTTAAATTTATACTAGTCTATACTATTATAATAAAGCGTAAGCACACACTTCTTTGTTGCCTAATGTCAGCAATTACAGCATATTTTTGAATAATTCTTTTTTTAATAAAAAGCCCTACACTTATGTCACGCTTTAGGCTATATATTTTAAACTTAGGGGGTAAATATTTTGGATAAAACCCCTAATGTGGGAAAGAGACCAAAGTTGCTGCCAACATCAAGGAAGCTAAATTGCCTTACTTTGTCATTTGTGTATCATGTCTGTCATTTTGACATTTGCAATTGAATTTGACAAATGTAATCAATAAAACAATTTATAATTTCATGCTAATGAAGTCGCACGGGAACAGCTAGTATTGTAAATAAGAAAGATTTGTATTTTTGTATGTATTGAAATAACTAAACTCAAAAACTACTGGGACGATTTTGAAAATTCTTTCACTATTAGAAAGGTAATTTATCTGTGAGAAACATAGGCTATGTTTTTATTACTTTTAATTTGACGCGGACGAAGTCGCGAGCACCAGCTAGTTAATAATTAAATTAATTAGTATCCTGTGCTGATGTACTACTGAAATCAGTTAAGCCAATTTGGATACGCAGTAAAAAGATCCATCCATCCGATTAATTATTGTGTGTCTAAAACTAGGAGAGTGGTCGCGACCCTCAGGAATGAGGAAACGATCCGGAGAGAGAGAGAGAGAGAACTAGCTGTTGCTTCGTGAGAATTTGTCTATAAAAAATAAAAAAAAAAACAAATCAAGTAGCGTATGTGTTTTCTAGACTATGCTCTACATCTATGCCTAATTTCATTGGGATTGAGTGTTCGAACATTTTGTACTTTTAGCGTTAATTCTAATTTTATTTTTTTTAATTCCAGGGCCGGATTAGTAAAATATGAACGTAAATCGGGACACTTCCAACCGACGGAGCTCGGTCGTATTGCGTCGCATTATTATTGTACGTATGAAACTATGCAATCGTACAATCAGTTGTTGAAACCTACTCTAGGAGAGATCGAATTGTTCCGTGTGTTCTCGTTGTCGGCGGAATTTAAACATATTGCGGTACGAGATGAGGAGAAACTGGAATTACATAAGTTAATGGAAAGGGTAAGTTGGGATAGTTTAACTATACGTCGGTCAGACATTTACGATATATAAAATAGGTAATTTACTACGGTAATTTGTTTGTTTGTAATTTTGACTATCACCAGTAGCGTTAGAGGTTATGTGAAAATGTCTCAAGTGAAGTGTCAACTATACTTAGTTTTTTTGATCTCTTTGATGTCTGCATATAAAGAAATTTAAAGATATGTGTGAAGACGTGGTATAGGTTTAAAGATATTTATTCTCATAAAAAACACAATGTTTCACTTACAATGAGAAAATTTAAATATGTACAATGTAATTGTGAGCTTGCGGGTAAGTACATGATATAGTATAAACACAAAAAGACACTAGGTACACTATTAATTAATATAAATCAAAACAAGCCTTAAAATAATCTAAATTAACATAAATGACAAGTAACTAAGTTATATGTATATACCTATAGGCAACTGAATAGATTTTATAATAGTTCGGCAATAATATGTAACTTAAGTTTATTTTTGAAAATATTAATACTTTTACAATTCTTTATCTCGTCTGGCAAGTTATTAAACATTTGGACACCTTCAAACAAAATCGTTTTATTTCCATAATTAGTTCTTGGAGTAATTGTTTTTAGCTTGTATTTGTTACGTAAATTATGTTTATGATCTCGTTTTTCGAATTTTATATTAGATTTAATGTTGTTATTTGTTATGTTCATTATGAAAGTACAAATTTTAAATTTAAATGTTTGAGCGATATTGAATAATTTTGTCTGAATTTTTGTATGATGAAAATTTTGGTATGAATTCTCTATTAGATTTATTCCGCGATTTTCGGAGGAATAAAAAAATTAAATTAAGTAGCCTATGTCTTCTTCCACACTGTGTTCTACACTTCTGCCAAATTTCATCGAAAGCATTTTAGCAATATAGGTGAGAAACTCTAACAATCATCGATCCGTCTAAATTTTCACATTTATTATATAAGTAAAATTGTTTTAGAAATTATAATAAGTCGTTCTAAAAAGAATAAATAGTTTGGTACGACTTATTATAGTTTGCTATTTCTATTCAATTCGACTATATTCGTGTTTTTTTTTTATTTGAGAGTTATCTATATTTGTACTACTGCATATTTGTAAGTCCAATGTCAGATTTCGCTCAAAATTCTATATGTGTTTACCCTTTTTTTATTGTTTAACTGTTAGGTGCCGATACCAATAAAAGAAAGCATAGAAGAGCCATCAGCGAAGATCAATGTGTTATTACAAGCGTATATATCACAATTGAAGTTGGAAGGTTTCGCCCTGATGGCGGACATGGTGTATGTGACGCAGTCCGCGTGTAGGCTGCTCAGAGCTATATTTGAGATTGTACTGCATAGAGGTACGTTTGAACCAAATTTTAATTAATGTTTCCACAAAATTTTAATGACTATTTGCACAAAAATTTAATGTCTTTCCACAAAATTTTCATTATTAGCACAAAATTTAAATGACCATTTGCACATTTTAATAACTATTTCAACAAAATTTTAATGACCATTTCCACAACATTTTAATGACTATTTGCACTAAATCTAGATGACTTCTTGTTTTACGAGATAAGTAGATTTAAGTAGTTAATTTATTCAAAAATACTCTTGAAAATGGTCTAAGTTTCATAAATATTGTTTTAAAAATGTTGTAACAGTATGTAAATTTAAATTGATTATTGTAAATTTAAAGAAATGGTGTCTGCTTATGTTTTTTTGTTAAATTATTATTTGTTAACAGGTTGGGCGCAGTTAGTAGACAAAACTCTGGCGCTATGCAAAATGGTCGATCGCCGCATGTGGCAGTCAATGTCTCCGTTACGGCAATTCAGGAAGATGCCGGAAGAGGTAATTAAATATCTAAATTATGATTTTACTAACTTTCGCCCGCGATTGCGTCCGTGTGGAAATTATGTAAAAAAAAAAAACATCTATGACAAATTTCTTTGTGATTTTCAGCATTTTATGCTACAAACTCTAACAAACATCCATTTATCTAAACATTTGCGTTTATAATATTAGTAAAATATTGGTAGATTCGTAAATACTTGTCATCAACTTCGGATATTAAAACATCAAGATAAACAATTTTTAAACAAAGTCTTTTTTTTCGCACAGGTGATAAAGAAATTAGAAAAGAAGAACTTCCCATGGGAAAAACTATATGAACTAGGACCTAACGAGATTGGGGAATTAGTGCGTGCTCCCAAACTGGGCAAAATGATACACAAGTATGTGCACCAGTTTCCCAGACTAGAGCTGGCGACTCACATCCAGCCCATCACCAGGTCCACCCTCAGGGTGGAGCTCACCATCACTCCTGACTTCCAATGGGATGAAAAGGTAAGGGTAGGGAAAAATTTAAAAAAATCGTATCAAGTTTCGTTACATGAGTGGGAGAAAAGATGTAAGGTTTCTTTGGAACGAAAGAGAGGGAACATGTTAGACGCAATCCTTTTAGCTCGTTTATGTTTTGAATTGTTGACTTTTTTTGGTTATAAAATCTTGGCCTCTTTAATAAGCATTTAACGTCAACAAGATAGTAAACGCTTGTTTAGGTAGCTACTAACTATATATATTTTTATTTGTCTATACTATCTATACTAACATTATAAACAAGAAAGATTTGTATTTTTGTATGTATCGAAAACTCAAAAACTACTGGGTCAATTTCAAAAATTCTTTCACCATTAAAGGATACATTATCTGTCAGTAGCATAGGCTATACTTTTTTTAATATCACGCATCCGAAGTCGTACTTAAAATTATAAAGAGGAAAGATTAGTATTTTTATATTTATTTGATTCACGTAAAAACTACTGGGGTAATTTTAACATTTTTTTTTCACCCTTAAAAGGTAATTTATCTGAGTATGAGCTATGTTTCTCGTTATACCAGTATAGATTTTAAAACTGTTACGTATTTACAAATATCTTAATTACATTAAATATGTAATTAAGATATTTGTAAATACGTGACGTATGACTTGTGCAATATTTAAAACCAATAATATATGAAAACTATCTCTTTCCAGATCCATGGTCAATCGGAGGCATTCTGGGTGCTGGTGGAAGATGTGGACTCCGAAGTAGTACTCCATCATGAATATTTCCTACTCAAGCACAAATACTGCAGAGACGAGCAACATGTCAAATTATTTGTGCCAGTATTTGAACCTCTGCCTCCGCAATATTTCCTACGAGTTGTGTCTGACCGGTGAGATCGACCTCTGTATTATGTCTTTATGCCGTATACAGGATGTTTGAATTTTAAGAAACTAGCTTTTTTTTATTTCATTTCAACAAGCTGTCGTCCACGTGGTATTAGAAAACATACGAACTATATAAATAACAGAAAGTTACGTATCCCTCGGGAAGCGGACATTTTTGGGGATGAACTTTATCCCATGTGTACTCCAAACTGTTTTATATCTGTGGCAAATTTCAATAAGATATGCTGAACCTAGGCTACAAACGCTAACAAACATCCATCCATCTAAACTTTCGCATTTATAATATTAGTTAGATTACCGACTAAACTGATTGTTGGTCGATTGTCGTACTAATTATAAATGCGAAAGTATAGATGGATGGACGTGTGAAGCCTAAACTGCTGAACGGATTTCGATGAAATTTGACATAGATGTAGAGCAGTCTGGCAGAATGTATAGATTTCTTACATTTTTTTTAAATTCAGGAAACAAAGATAAAGTTTGTAAAAAATGTCACCTTTAAACGCCGTAATGATATTTGGTCATGTAATATTCATATTAATCTGTCCATTTTTATTGGGTTTAAAACTCAATTTGATTTTTTTTTAATTTTAAGTTTGTTTCAGCATTATTCGTTACCTGTTTATTTATTTATTTATTATGGTTATAAAAAAATCACTCTGTATACAATGTGATAATGGTACTTGTCGTTGAATTTTAAGACATCCTGTATATTAACTGATTGTTGAATTCACTCCCTTCTCTGCTATATCTTTAGTAACACAATACTTTCTTTTCTCCTATTTTGTGTATGTGATCTGTCAAAATCACACTAATTCAAATATGTCCCTTCTCTTCCAGTTGGATAGGAGCAGAGACACAATTGCCAGTCTCCTTCCGTCACCTCATACTGCCAGAGAAGAATTTACCTCCCACCGAGCTGTTAGACTTACAGCCGCTGCCGGTCACAGCGCTACGAAATAATAACTACGAAGCTTTGTACAATGAAACGTTCCCGCAGTTCAATCCTGTGCAAACCCAGGTAAAACCCTGTTTACATTCCAATCCAGTACTGTCTAGCGCTGGACTACTGGACTACTGGATTATTAATGTTTATGCATTTGCTGTCGCCTTCAAGTTTTGTAACCTTCTTCAATCAAAGTCCCGTCAAATTAGTTACAGCCGTATCGGAGATTACCAGGAACAAATACGGCTTATGGACAAACAGACAGGCAAAATGTTTTAATTTGATTTTTATTATCAGCAACATAAATATGTCGCGAAATCTGGTATTTTTCTTTGCATATTACAAACAGATGCACCAATTTTATATTACTAGCGTCTTCACCGCGTGAAATTAAAAATTTATAGAAAATGTAGCCTATGTTAGTCATAAATAAATTACCTTTCTAACGGTGAAAAAAATTCTAAAATCGCCTCAGTGCTTTTTTTATTTCAAAACATACAAAAGTACAAATCTTTCCTCTTCATAATGTTAGTTTAGTTACATAATATATACAAACACATATAATGTCTGTCTAATGTTAAAAAAAAACTATATCTTTTGTGAACATGATGTATTATCGTTGTGTTTGTGTCGGGTAAACTCCGGAATCGTTGGGTCCAATTTTTGGAATTTATACTGGAAGATAGCTTTTGTGTGTGACAATGTTAGAGACTACAGTATTTTTAATTTCATCTAAGAAAGTCACGGGTTATCGCTAGTTTTATAAAAAGTATTGCTATTTTTTTTTCTCAGGTGTTCAACGCGGTGTACAATTCTGATGACAACGTGTTTGTAGGCGCGCCCTCCGGGTCGGGCAAATCAGTGATCGCTGAACTTGCCCTACTGAGGTTGTTGTCGACTAACGCGGGCGGGCGGGCGGTATATGTATTGCCTAAAGACGCTCTTGCTGATATAGTGTTCGCGGATTGGTATCATAAGTTTGGTACTAAGTTTAACTTGAAGGTGAGTCAAGTGTACTTTATTATGCATCATCACCATCATCACCACCACCACCATCATCATCATCATCATCATCATCATCACCACCATCATCATCATCATCATCCTTAAGTTAGATGTGACTATGCCATAGTCTTTATAGTAAGCGTCGGTGGCTCAGTGGTTTAAGAACTTGTAATGTACTGGTCTTGGGTTCGAATCCTGCTATACCAATGTGATTTTCGATTTTTTAAACTTCATACGTATTTAAATGACTTACGGTGAAGGAAAAAATCGTGATGCACATATCGGTGAAGAATTTCAAAGATATGTGTAAAGTCAACCTGCAGTGCAGTGTTGACTATATCCTAGTCACCCTTAGGGTGGGCTCCCAGCTCAGTGGGGACGAATAGTGAACTGGTGATGATTTGTCATGATGAGGCCATAGTCAACACTGTCAGTGCGGGTTGACTTTACATATCTAAATATGTGCAAACAATACTTTAAAATACTATAGCTATTTGATTTTATCAAATTAAATATTGACTTAAATGGACAGAGGATGTACTAATAAGGTTTATTTCTTTTCCGATCCTCAGAAACAGTGTAGAAAGGTCTTTTGTCCTGATTCTAATTACAATAACCAACATTCTTATTGTGAAAAACTTATTGAAAAAAAATATTGAGATGAAATTCTATGTGAAGTTTATGTCCAGTTCAGTTTACATTATGCCAGTCTAGTGAATAGAATAGAAATTATTGACACAAAAAAGAACTAAACGAAATACACGCACTCTAAAGACAAAATAGATTCCAACGCTGGTTTGAATCTGGTGCTGGTTGGATCACATTATGCTAGTACAGTAGGATTGCACGCATTCCAGTGCTGGCATAACTAATGTAAACTCTCTACTGGCGATATACATGCCAGGCCATTGCAACTGTACTGGCATTATGTAATAAAATGTAAATTTACGATGTTTTTATTGATTTTAATATATTTTGATATTGTCAGGTTGTACAACTTACTGGAGAGACGGCGACTGACCACAAGCTGCTGAACAAGGGTCAGATTATCATCACCACCGCGGAGAAATGGGACGTACTGTCTAGACGGTCGGTATTTTTAACAGCTTTCTTCCGGGTTAACTAAAAAAAAAAACAAAAGCATGTAGCCTATGTGTTCTTCCATACTCTAACAAGCATCCATCTATCGCTTTACGTAACTTTCGCAATCTTACTAATATTATAAATGCGAAAGTTTAGATGGATGGATGTTTGTTAGAGTTTGTAACCTAAACGGCTAAACGGATCCCGATAAAATTTGGCACAGACGTAGAGGATAGTCTGGAAGAAAACATAGGCTACTCACTTTTGTTTTTTATTTCACTCGGACAGACCCGCGGGCGATAGCTAGTTATATTATAGTTTGTCTATTTAAGATTGGTTAGTTTGTTCTGTATATCCTATTATTGATGTTATTGATTCTTTTATTTTAAGTAACACAAAATACTTTAAGTTATAGAGGTTTTAAGTTATCAAGAGTCCATGTTTTGAAGGTTTTGGGTTCTGGGAAGGGAACACATTTTTTTTTGGAGTTACAGAGGTTTTTAAGTTACCGAGGTTCTACTTAAGATAGTGCGAGGCTTTTTTTAATTTGTAGTAAATGTGTGCAGATGGAAGGTCCGCAAGAGCGTGCAGAACGTGTCGCTGGTGATCGTGGACGCGCTGCAGCTGCTGGGCGGCGAGGAGGGGCCCGTGCTGGAGGTGGTCTGCTCCAGGATGCGCTACATCAGCTCGCAGATAGGTAGACAATCTATTTGTATACTGATTTTAATGTCTAGCTATACTAATATAATGAAGATTTGTATTTTTGTATGTATTCGATTCACTTAGATAGATTTACACTGGGTAGATTTTAAAAATTCTTTCATCATGAGAAAGATAATTTATCTGTGAGTAACATAGGCTATATTTTTATCTATATTTATTTTAATATTATAAAGAATTTTTGTATGTATTCGATTGACGTAAAAACTACTGAGTCGATTTTAAAATGTCTCACCATTAGTAAGGTAAATCTGTGAGTAACATAGGCTATGTTTTTATCTTATACTAATATTATTTTTACCCCCTAAGTTTAATGGCGTGAAAATATATAGCTTAAAGCGGGAAGTATGTGTAGGTCTTTTCATTAAAGAAAATATTATTAAAAAATATGTTGTAATTGCTGACATCTTAGGCAACAAAGAAGTGTGTTTACGCTTTATTATAATAGATAGATTAGTATGACAAAATCGTCTATTTCAGGTCGTCCTATCCGTATAGTGGCACTATCTCTGCCGCTGGCGGACGCACGCGATGTATCCCAGTGGCTCGGCTGCAACTCCAACGCCTCCTTCAACTTCCACCCCAGCGTGAGACCGCTGCCGCTAGAGCTGCATATACAGGTCACAGATCTACTTATATTGGACACGAGATAGTACTATTTATTCATCAGACTAGTATGAAAAAGTAGCTTATAATATGCCCGTCTATGTCAGCTGCCCTTAAGTGCAAGTCCCGTCGAAATCGGTCCAGACGTTTCGGAGGTTACACGGAACAAACACGGCTCACAGACAGACAGACTGACAGATAAACATTTTTGAAACGCGATTTTCATTATCAGCAATGCAAATACATCTTCCCGGAATCTGGATTTTTTTTTTGATGTTACAGACACTCCAATTTTATTATATGTAAAGATATAGATAAATAAGGGGGAACTAGCAATTACCTTTTTTTATTCCAAACAGAATGTATTATCCTGTAAAAGTGGTATCGTTTTTTAGTAATATATGCACGTTTCTAGGCATTGGTTGCACCTTAATACTTCGAATCTATACTAATGTAATAACGAGGAAAAATTTGTATTTTTTTATGTGTTGAAATAACTCAAACTACTGGACCGATTTCAAAAATTCTTTCGCCATTAGAAAGGTATTTTATCTGTGAGTAACATAGGCTATTTCTAATATACATTTATGTACAGGGTTTCAACATATCCCACGCCGCGTCTCGCCTGGCAGCGATGACTAAACCGATATACAACGCCATCTGTCGGTTCGCGGGCACGAAGCCGTGCGCCGTGTTCGTGCCCTCGCGCCGACACGCGCGCCTGCTGGCAGCTGACCTGCTGGCGCTGGCCGCAGCTGCTGGCAGGTCAGGCAGGTTCCTGAGAGCAAGGCAGGATCTGGTGAAACCCTTCCTTGATAGGGTTAAGGATAAGGTGAGTTTTCAAGTCTGGGAAATTGATTAAAAGATTAATTTGTTAAAGATTAACACTTATTTAAAAAAAAGTGAATAGTCTATGTGTTCTTCCAGACTATCTACATCTATGCCAAATTTCATCAAGATCCGTTCAGCAGTTTAGGCTACAAACTCTAACAAACATCTAAACTTTCGTGTTTACAATACTAGCTTTTGCCCGCGATTTAGTCCGCGTGGAATTAGAAAAAACAAAGTGAGTAGCCTATGTATTCTTCCAGACCATCCTCTATATGTATAACAAATTTCATTGAATTCATTTCAGTCCTTTAGGTTACAAAATCTAACGAACATCCATCCATCCATTCATCTAAATTTTCGCGTTTATATGATTAAGGGCCTGTCCCACCAAATTGTAAATTGTCAGATAACAATCCAACGTGTAAAATATATGATGGAAATATCAGATTTTGTTTCTTTATCTGACAGTGACGTCTTCTCTCATAGACAGGACTTTAATATTAATAATAAACATTTAATCAGTTCCAAAACACTTTGCAACATAATACAACATAATATACGTAAACAAAAAAAAAAATCAACTATTAATAATCAAAACTAATGACAAGAAAATAAACTAAATATATAGACATTTTAACTATGCGTTTTATTGGGAATCCTTTATAAATAAATGCTCGCGATTCGCCCACAAGGAAATAAAAAAAATATTAAAAATACTCTTTATGTTACTCAGTGATAACATAGCTTTTTTTATCTTCCAGATGTTAAAGGAAACTCTAGCAGCCGGAGTGGCATATTTGCACGAGGGCGTGGAGCCGTCCGACCGGCGGCTGGTGCAGCAGCTGCTGGAGTCGGGCGCGGCGCAGCTGTGCGTGCTGGCGGCCGAGCTGGCGTGGGCCTTCGCCGCGCATGTGCACACTGTCATCGTGGCTGACACGCATGTGTGAGTTCACCTATCCAAGTTTCTTTCGCCAAAATGGCGAAGCAACCTCTTATAGACATCTGCAATTACGGATGCCTACCCTTAATCGACAAAGGAGATCACAGAAACTGGATGTTTCCTCTTTCTACGTGTCTCCACCGTCAAATCCATGTTTTCTTCTCATTTTTTCCTACGAGAATAAGGTTAGGAATGAAAAGGAACTAAAGTTGGGCCTCCGGCACCACACTCATCAGACGTAACATAACCTGGATGATTCCTCTTCCTATGCGTCTCCTCCACCGTCAAATCCACGTTACCTTACAATTCTTTTCATATAAGAAAATAGCTGTTCCCGTGCGGCTTCATCCGCACAAATTGAAATTATGAAAATTTTATTTTATTGTTTACATTTGTCAATTTATCAATAGCAAATGTCAAAATGACTTGACGCTGACGAACCATGGCAATCTTGCTTCCTTGATGTTGGACTTATGGTCTCTTTCCCACATTAGGGTTTTTATCCAAATTATTTACCCCCTAACTAATAGCGTGAAAATATATGGCCTAAAGCGTGACGTAAATGTAGGGCTTCTTATTAAAAAAAGAATTATTTAAAAATATGCTGTTATAGCTGACATCTTAGGTAACAAAGAAGTGTGCTTCCGCTTTATTGTAATAGTATAGAAAGTTTAGGAATGAAAAGGGATTAAAGTTGGGCCTCCGGCACCATATTAACCAGACGTAACGCGGAATTGCTTCCACTTGACGCCTGTTTTCTTTACAGATACAACGGCAAACTGCACTCCTACGAGCAGTATCCGATAACGACGGTGCTGCAGATGTTGGGTCGCGCGTGCCGCCCGCTGGAGGACGATCGCGCGGTCGCAGTGCTGATGTGCGCTGCTCACCACAAGACCTTCTTCACCAAACTGCTAAATGATTGTCTACCGTTGGAGGTAACGCTTACTAATACTTTGTCTTCGTGCAAATAAATATATTACTTTTAACAGTGGTAGTGCCCGCTTTAACATCTTAGCACTGCAGGGCTCGCCCCCAGTAATACCACGACCACACAGAAGACAGTCGTGAAATGGAAGCAATTCCGTGTTTCGTCTGATGAGTGTGGTGCCGGAGGCCTAATTTAAGTCCCTTTCTCTTTACCACCCTTTTCTTATAAGGAGAGGTTGGGAAGAGGAAGTGGATTTGACGGTGGAGGATATGCATAGGAAGGGGAAATAACCTCTTTATGTGCGTCTCCTCCTCCGTCGGATAAGGGTAGGCAACGCATCTACAATTGCGGATGTCTATGGGCAGCGGTCGCTTCGCCATTTTGGCGGTTATAGCTGGCCGCTTGCTCGTTTGCCACCTTATGTTATAAAAAAAAAAATATAGCTGTTAGTAACATAAGATATATTGTCTAATGGTGAAAGTGTTTTTCAAACCGCCCCAAAGATTTTTGAGTTATTTTATTACAAATCTTGCCTTTTTATAAATACTGTTATAATGAGGAATAGAGGATGTTTGTAACCTAAATGCCTGAACGGATCTCGTAGATGTAGAGCATAGTCTGGAAGAACACAGGATACTATTTTTTTTTTAATAACCACGCGAAAGGAATCGCGGGTGAAAGTTAGCTAGTATAATTTTTATTGTATAAGTTGAGAAACGAGCAAGCAGCCACCAGAATTCGTTAAAATAGCAAAATAAAAATAACTATTTACTAACTTTTGCCTGCACTGAATTTAAAACTTAAACTACTTAGTCTATGCGTAGTTCTTGTTTAATTTTTTGTACTGAAACCATAAACAATTTCTTTTACAGAGCCACTTGGACCACAGACTGCACGACCATATGAACGCGGAGATCGTCACCAAGACAATAGAGAACAAGCAGGATGCTGTCGACTACCTCACCTGGACCTTCCTCTATAGAAGATTGACACAGAATCCTAATTATTACAACTTGCAAGGAGTCACACATAGGTAAGAAACTGCACTTTGTAACCGGAGTTTAGCAAAAAAAACTGTAACGACCGCATTTATGCTAACTAACTGTTGCCCGCGACTTCGTCCACGCATTATTAAGATAAAAAAGTAGTGTTCCCTTCAGTGAAAGTTCGGTCGAAATTGGCCCAGCCGTTTTAGAGATTTCTCGGAACAAACGCGACTTGCGGACAGACGGACAGACAAAATAAATTAAATGCAATTTTCTTTTGATATTGCAAACAGACACTCCAATCTTACTAATATTATAAATGCGAAAGTTTAGATGGATGGATGGATGTTTGTTAGAGTTTGTAGCCTAAACTGCTGAATGGATTACAATGAAATTTGGGATACATTTAGAAGATAGTCTGGAAGAACTTTTTTCTCAATTTCACGTGGACGGAGTCGCCGGCGAAAGCTAGTTTAATTATATCTAAACTAATGTTATAAAGAGGAAAGATTTGTATTTTTGTATGTATTGAAATAATTGTAAAACAACTGGACCATTAATTTTTTTTTCGCCATAATAAAGCTTGTCAGAGAGTAATGTTATCAGTGAGTAATATAGGCTATATTTTTTAATTTCACGCGGACGTAGTCGCGAGCAACATCTTGTGAATAGATAATTACTTATTTTCAGACATCTATCGGATCATCTATCTGAGCTGGTGGAGACGACACTATCAGAACTGGAGCAGTCGAAATGTATCGCGATTGAGGACGAGATGGACGTGCGGCCGCTCAACCTCGGCATGATCGCCTCATACTACTACATCAATTATACTACTATTGGTATGTTACTGATACATTGAATAACAGCAGTGTAAATAAGCTTAGATTTAAACTATTAACAGCGTGAGCTTGAGCGTCGGTGGCTCAGTGGTTTGAACACTTGACTTGTAATCTACAGGTCTTGGGTTCGAATCTCGCTGTACCCAATGTGATTTTTGATTTTTCGAATTTTCATATGTACATAATTAACCCGACGTTCTTACGGTGAAGGAAAACATCGTGATGCCTGCACATATCGGCGAAGAAATTCAAAGATATGTGTGAAGTCAACCAACCTGCACTTGGCCAGCGTGGTTGACTATGGCCTAGTCACTTACTTAGGGTAGGCTCCGAGCCCCATCTGTGGGGACGTATAGTGAGCTGGTGATGATGATAATGATGAACTTTAACAGTGGTAGAGCCCGCTTTAACATCTTCGCACTGTACGGCTCGCCAGCAATATACCACAGACAGGCGTGAAGTGGAAGCAATTCCGCGTAAAGTCTGATGAGTGGTGCCGAAGGCCTAGTTTTAATCCCTTTCCCTTTTCATCCTTTTCTTAAGAGGAAAGAATGGGAAGGAAAAGTGGATTTGACGTTGGAGGAGACGCATAGGAAGTGGAATTGTCCTCTTTTTATGCGTCGCCTCCGTCAATGAAGGGTAGGCAACGCTGCAATTGCGTATGTTTATGGGCAGCGGTCGCTTTCCACTTAAGTAGATTCAGGTGACCGCTTGCTTATATTATAAAAAAAAACTTGTTTATAAAATGTCTTTAAATTATAATCTTTCGTTACTTACTGCGTTGGCGCAGCGACCAAAAGTGGGTCTTGCCTCCGACACGAGAGAGCGCCATTTCCTTAAAGTTTTCAAATAAATAAATCTGACAAAATTTGTTAACTAAAATTGTCATACAAGTATCAAGACAATGAAAACTCATAAAATCCACAGAACTGTTCAGCCTGTCGTTAACCAGCAAGACGAAGATCCGAGGTCTTCTGGAGATCATATCCTCGGCCGCGGAGTACTCAGACCTCTGCATCCGACACCGAGAGGAGAACATCATCAAGACATTAGCAGCTAAGTTAGTATTCCAAAGACATAGGAAATATATAGACTAGACGTTGTGAACATTTTTTCACCGGTAACTTCTTTGAAAGGTACCATGTCAAGTTTAGTGCCACCTCGTGTTTGTATTGACATGTTATAAAACATGTTGCAAAATTATTATAAGCTCCATCTTTTGTTATATAAAGTAAAAAATGGAACTAAAAAAAATGCAAACATTTAAATATTGTTCAATATCTATTTGCAAGTAATTTAAATGCAATTAAATAATATTGACATGTGGTTAGGGAGTGCAATCTCGTTCTCGCGAGATCTTGGCCTTTTTAGCGAGATGTAACTAATACATCTTTATTTAAAATTTATTTACACAACTATATACAAAACTCAAAACTATCTCGATCACATTCTTCCTTTTTTATATATTTTCTTTTAAACAACGATAAATGCCTTGGTGGCCAGTATGCAACCTCTTTGACTGCTTGTCAGCCAAAGAGGTTGTATTTTGCACTCAACACGAGATTGAACTCGAACAAAAAAAAGACGAAATCTCACGAGTTTAACGAGATTGCACTCGAGTATAAAAACGTCTTATTCGAAGCGCGAACTGACGTGGAGTTGCGATATGTCGGTTTCGGTCGCCGATAAGGTGTTTCTCAGATTCGTTCGTGCTTTATTTGCAAAAACACACCAAACTGCCTCTCGCGAGAACTCGAAATTGTCGAGTATTGTTACACATAAACTCGTGAGATCTCGCTTGAGTTCGCGAGATTTTCATACCCTACATGTGTTTATAAGGATTTATCTATAGTTAGTGACGTATTAAAAAAAATCCAATTCAACGCCCTCTATATTTTTGTATCTGCTATTCAGAGTGCCTCATAAACCTGCCGCTGGTGCTGGTGCCGGTGCCGGTGCGGGTGTGCGCTACAACGACCCGCACGTGAAGGCGCACGTGCTGCTGCAGGCGCACCTCTCCCGCATGCAGCTGCCCGCGGAGCTGCAAGCTGATACAGCTCTCGTACTCACTAAGGTATTACAACGATTTAACGACTCCTTAGATATTTTTTTATAATATAAGGTGGCAAACGAGCAAGCGGTCATCCACCGAAATAGAAAGCGACCGCTGCCCATAAACATCCGCAATACACAATCTGCATATAACTCCAAATTGTACCAAACTTTTTTTAAGTATACTTCATTACTATAAAAACAGTCCTGCAAAGATTTTTTTACAATATAATGTGATTTAGTGGCAAAATTTAATCATTTAAAAGTGTATTTTTTCAAATTCCCTCGCTAAGTTCTAAAACGCACACTATTGGTCGAAGCAAGTGGCTTATCTAATATGGCGTCGCTGTGTTGATAATACACAGTTAATTTTAGTCCCTTTCCACCCTTTTTTTTAGAGGAAAGTATGGGAAGGAAAAGTAGATTTGACGGTGTAGGAGACGCATAGGAAGGGGAAATGTCCTCTTTATGTGCGTCTCCTCCGTCAATAAAGGGTAGTTTTAATTCGTCTCTATGCTTTTTTATGTGTGTTACGGCATAACTCCGCCGCTAGTGGACCGATTTTGATAATTCTTCTTTTATCCGAAAGGTAGTGCTTGCAGGTGGGTCCCATTTTTTTTGTTTGATTTTTTTTCTTTACTTTGTAAAACATTCCGGAAAAGTTGGTTTGTACTCTTTGTTAATAAACTGGTGTGAAATTCCAGGCTATCCGTCTTATCCAGGCGTGTGTGGATGTGGTCTCCAGCAGCGGCTGGCTGGCTCCAGGTGTGGCTGCGATGGAGCTGGCTCAGATGGTGACGCAGGCGATGTGGGCGAAGGATTCTTACCTTCGTCAGCTGCCGCACTTCACACAGGAGATGGTGCAGAGATGCTCAGAGAAGGTAAACACTGGATTGAAGACCCCCTTTCCCCATATTTATGAAGTGGCATCATCACCAGCTCACTTTACAGTGGTAGTGCCCGCTTTAACATGTTAGCACTGCAGGGCTCGCCCCCAGTAATACCACGACCACACAGAACACACGCGTCAAATGCAAGCAATTCCGTGTTATATATAAAAAAAGATGTACAATGTGACTGAGATGTCGATGAGGTGATGAGATGTTACGACCCTACGGGAGTAGGATGAGGGTGATGAGATGTACAAATATACTGTATGTCAGGGTGTGGAGACGGTGTTCGACGTGATGGAGCTGGAGGACGCGGCGCGCGGCAAGCTGCTGCAGCTCTCGCCCACGGAGATGGCAGACGTCGCCAGGTTCTGCAACAGGTATCCTAATGTGGAACTCACTTATGAGGTAAGTTGTATTAACTGTATCACTTTTACAAATAAACACAAAGCAAGCATACAAAATAAATCAAAAATTTTACTAATATTTGCTTATACTCAGTTTATTCCTAAGTTTAACTTTATACCGCGTTCTTTTGTAAGGCTTATTTTATTTTATTTTTATTATTTGTAAGGCTGTAAATATTAAATCATACTAATACGCAAAAGTTCATATAGATGTTTGTTTATTTGTAGCCTAAACTGTTGAACGGATCTCGATGAAAGTCATAGATGCAGAGCATTGTCTAGAAGAACACATAGACTACTTACTTTTTTTAAATTCCACGCGGGCTAAGTCCGGAAACTAGTTTATAGATATCTTTCGCCCGCGACTTCGCCCACATGGAATTTAAAAAAAAACAAAAGTGTGTGTCCTATCTATTCTTTCACATTATCCTCTACATCTATGCCTAATTTCAACGAGATCCGTTCAACAGTTTAGGCTACAAACTCTAACAAACATCTACACTTTCGCATTTATAATATTAGTATGTTGATCATTGGAATTTTCTTAAATTGCGAAATGTAGAAATTATCCAAATTTCCCTAAAGTTGAAATTCTTTATTTCACTTTTTAATCATTTATAAACTCAAAATGTTTATTGTAACAGAAATATTATGTACTAGCTTTCGCCCGCGACTTTGTCCTCGTGGAATTTTAAAAAAAAACAAGAGTATGTGTTCTTCCAAACTATACTCTACATTTATACCCAATTTGATTGAGATCCGTTCAACCGTTTAGGCTACAAACTCTAACAAACATCCATCTAAACTTTCGCATTTATAATATTTATAAGATGGTATGTTGATTGGTTTTTTATATATTTTCAGGTTAAAAACGAACGCCGTTTACGCGTAGGCAAGCCGATAGTGGTGGAAGTGTCTCTCGAGAGAGAAGACGAGATCGTTGGACCTGTTATTGCGCCGTTCTTCCCGCAGGTTAGAAAAAATTATAAAACGTTCATTTTTACTAATTATACGTATTCAAGTATTATTGTTAAGTTAATTTACACGTATTTTAGTCATAATTATCTCGCGACACCACTGATAATTTAGCTTTTTAATAATGAAAGAATTTTTTTAATCGGTGCAGTAGTATTTGAGTTATTTCAATACATGCTAAAATATAAATCATTCCTCTTTATAAATTAGTATAGACTATCTTTTGCCCACGACTTCATACGGATGGAATTTATTGAAAAAATAAATTGTAACCCATGTGTTCTGAGATCGGTTAAACCGTTCGAAATATCTACTAGCAAACATCCATCCATGTATAATTCCTTATTTAAACTAGTCAAATATAAAAAATAGGACAGAAACCTATTGGCTTTTAAACTTTTCACTTATATTTATAAGTTTTTAAAATCAATTATTTAAAAATAAACCGTGTTTTCCATTTTCTTAATAAAAACATTATTTCCTTTACAGAAACGTGAAGAAGGCTGGTGGGTGGTAATCGGTGAACCTAAGAGCAACAGCCTCCTCTCCATAAAGCGTGTCTCGCTAGGGCGCTCCGCCCGGCTGCGGCTGGACTTTGTGAGCGGCGCTCCCGGCCGCCACACGTACACCCTCTACTTCATGTCAGATTCATATCTGGGCGCTGATCAGGAGTACAAGTTTACTGTGGACGTGGATGATGCGCCGCAGACTGATTCTAGCGATTCAGAATAAAATTAATTGGCAACACTAAAAATTGCCAAAGACGGTATGTGGCAACCTTAGATTTTATTAAGATTGTTTGTGACAACCCTACAAATTCTTTAAGATGGTATGTGACAACCCTAAAAATGTGACATGATTTCAATAGTGTGACAACCTTGAAAACTAGGTAAGGTCGAATGTAACAACCCTAAGTATAAAAGTTAAAAAAATAAAAGAGATATCCATAGAAAATGCTTTTTTTTCACATGACCAAGAGTACCTACTTAAAGTGCCTAGTCATAAGTATTCCAAGACATCCGTAGAATTTAGTCCTAGTAGTAAATAAAACACCAAAATGTAATAAAAAAGAACATTTATTATGAATCATTTTATGCAATAATCATTACATTTAACTTTCCAAGATTACAAGGCCTTTTAGACCCTGTAAATAACATACAAGGCTTTTTAAACCCTGTAAAAAAGTGACCTAGAACCACATAGCAATGAATTATGTACATTTTTTATCTACATGAGCTCTCATATGTTCTCTCAATGTATAACTTCTTGCATAAGATTTGCAACAAACAGTACAAGTATATGGTTTTTCACCAGTATGTTTTAGCATATGTTTTTTCAAGCCGTGGTTGGTAATAAATGCCATATCACATTCTGTACACTTTTTATTCTTATTTCCATGAGTTTGTCTTATATGTGTTGCTAAATAATGCTTTATGTTATATTCTCGATAACAAATAGGACATTTAAATTTATATGTTATGTTATGTTCTTCGGACATATGTTTTATTCTTGCATTATAATGTTTCATTGGTTTTAAACATATTTGACATTTGATTATTCTTTTAGAATGTGTTTCCATATGATTTGTTATAGATATTTTAGTTTTTAACACTTTCCCGCATTTTTTACAAGGATAAGTGCCATTTTCGTGTGTCCTTTTGTGTACTTTCAGACGTTTTGTGTTCAAAAAAGATTTTCCACAAACATCGCAAATGCAATTAGGATAATGTTCGTTCAAATGAGTCGTTAATGTTCTGAAAACGTGAAACTCCCGTTTACATATGTGACATGAATATGGACTTGAATTGACTTTATAATCCGCTATACATTCTGTGTAAATAATTTTATTGTGTACTTCGACAAGATGGCGTCGCATCGTATTGACATCTGTCAATGTCAAACAGCAATGGCGGCATTTTAGGTTAGAAATGTCGATTTGTAATGACCTTGGATAGCTTTTCAATTTATTTAACTCTGTATCAATATCTTTATGGTTGTTTGAAGTGTGTTTTTTTAATGTATTTATATCCATGAAATCTTGAAGGCAGAAAAAACATTGGAACCAACTCTTGTGATGTCTAAATGGACAGGCTGTTGTATCTTTTAGTACTATGCTGCATGTTAGAATGACGCGTTTTCGTTCTGATATTCTGTTTCGAACTTTATGTACTGAAAAATTAAATAAATAAATAATTTTCTAACTACCTTCATATCATAAACTATGATATTTCTATCCAATCAATATATGGAAGATTTTCATCAAAGACAAACTGTACATTTTTTGGTACTTATAAATTCAGAAAACATTTCATAACATTTTAATAGATTTTCCCTTGACTTCATTAGTACGGAATCTATACTATTATAATAAAGTTTAAACACAAACTTCTTTGTTGCCTAAGATGTCAGCAATTATCGCATATTTTTGAATAAGTCATGCTTTAGGTAATGCATTTTCATGCCATTAAACTTAGGGGGTAAATATTTTGGATAAAAACCCTAATGTAGGAAAGAGACCATAAGTTGCTGCCAACATCAAGGAAGCAAGGTTGTCATGATGTCATGTCATTTTGACATTTGTAATTGATAATTTGACAAATGTAAACTTAAAATAAAGTTTTCATAATTTTATGTGGATGAAGTCGCACACTAGCAAGTTAGTTAAAAATAAAACTAATTAAGTATTCTGTGTTCTTCTGTAAGATGCAGAACATAGAACATAGTCTGTGCTATGTTCTGCATCTATGACAAATTTCAATTTGTTAGGGCCTTTCGAGATATCTAGTAACAAATATCCATCCATACAAACACATATACAGCTTTGAGATATCTTACTACCTTATTTAGGAAAACCAAATATTAACCATATTTACCTCCTATTATATCGTTTTTAATATCTTTTTCAGCTTTTCCAGGAGTTACACTTTTCTCTTGACAAGGAGTTTTTATTAATTCAGATATAGGAATATCGGAGTCATACCCAGGATCTATTTCTCCGTTCTCACTCTCTGCAATAGTTTTAAATACTCTTTTATTTCTTATTCTGTTTCTTGTTTGTTTCAGCTTGAGAGATGATTCTAGGTTTTTTTCTGATACTGATTTTGTTTTGAGGTTTCCAGCTGATACTGTGGAAAATATAAATATGTCGCAATCAGAAGAAATTAATTTGAATTTAAGACCTAATTTAAATCCCTTTCTCTTTACCACCCTTTTCTTTTAAGGAGAGGTTGGGAAGAGGAAGTGGATTTGATGGGGGAGGAGATGCATAGGAAGGGGAAATATCCTCTTTTTGTGCGTCTCCTCCTCCGTCGTATAAGGGTAGGCAACGCATCTGCAATTGCGGATGTCTATGGGCAGCGGTCGCTTCGCCATTTTGGCGATTTCAGGGGGCCGCTTGCTCGTTTGCCAGCTTATGTTATAAGAAAAAAAAAAGACATAACTAGAACACGAGCGCCGCCAAGCGACTTTTGAGAGAACTTAGATCATTCTGAAAATAGGGATTGTTGCAAGATCATTGTTTGAACGATATGAGCTTGGTGGGTCGATGATATCCTGACTAAAGAGTATTGTAAATGTGTTCCTGACATTTGACTTTACCCATGGCCGCTCACATGTGATCTCGAGTAGTAATGATTCTGATATTGTGCTAGCTCAAGCCGACAAACATGTTGGCTAAATTCTGACAAATCAATACTAATATTATAAAGGGGAAAGATTTATATTTTTGTATGTATTGAAATAGTTAAAAACTACTAGGCCGAGGCTTGTTAAAAACATTTTGTCCTCTTAAATTTAAAAAGAATAAAACACAATTAACTAATATACTAACCAGTTTTGTTGGATTCTTCAAATTTTACATTTTCTTTTATTGAGGATATACCTTTAGTTGCATTTCCTAAAACAAACATTTATATGGCTTAATGGGAACAAAATAAAGCAGCGATCGTCAGATACATGTCCCCAATGAGAGGTTCAGAGCCAACCCTATGTGTGATTAGGCCATAGTCAAAAACACTGGGTTGACTTCATAAGCAGATCACACAATTGATTTATAAGTTGGCAAACGAGCTAGCGGCCACCTGAATCCACCGAAATGAAAAGCGACCGCTGGCCATAAACATCCGCAATTGCAGATGTCTTGTCTACCCTTAATTGACAGAGGATGAGAAGCACATAAAGAGGATATTTTCCCTTCCTATGCGTCTCCTCCACCGTCAAATCCGCTTTTCCTTCCCAACCTTTTGTCTTAAGAAAATGGTGAAAAGCGAAAGGGACTAAAATTAGGGCTGCGGCACCACACTCAGCAGACGAAACGCGGAATTGCTTCCACTTCACGCCTGTTTTCTGAGTGGTTGTTGTATTACACCGGGCGAGCCGGCCCATTCGTGCTAAGATGTTAAAGTGGGCTCTACCACTGTTTGAATGTATAAAAATGGATGCCTCTGACTAAACTGTTCCACTACAGTTGTGTGATTATCAATTGTTTCGCAGGCAATTCTACTGTTTAGTTGGACAAGTAGCAATTTAGTAGTGTGCACCTTCATATAAGATCATAGGAATTAGTCAAAGGTGTGAGCTCTAAATGTACATATGGAATTCAAAAAACGAACATGAATCCCATAGTAGGATTTGACCCTAGAATAAAATTTTTGAATCATGTGGTTGAGGGTTCAAATCCCGCCACTTGATTATTGTTTTAGCACAGGACTAGAGCATAGTAGGAATGGTTGAGAAATGTAAATCAACATACTACTAATATTTAAAAAAAAATCCCCAAGCCATTAACACTATGAGTACAAAATTACTATTATAGAACAATGTGCAAATAACATTTCAGCGGAATGCCATTAATGCAATTATGAGTACAATATCCAGCTGTAAATGGGGAGGAAATTAAATTCTTTGACTATACCTGTATCTTGGAAGCAGAGATCTAACTGCCTCTCAGCATCCAATACTTGCTTCTTGAATGCAGTGGCCTGTCTCAGCTGTGACATGCACAATGTGCATATCATCGCTCTGCCATGGTCCAGCAGCAGCTTGGGAATTCATGCTATAAACTTACTAATACCATCGGTATGGATTTACTTACTTTAATACAATTTTAGTCAAAAGATTTACTAACTTCTCGAAGAATGAATGTGTTCTGAGAGGACTACAAGGTGCATCAAAGTTATAAACCATATTTCAAAATTATTTAAGGTAATATTTATATGAAATAAAGAGATAAATAGACCATAAGTTTATACATATATACTTACAGAAATCCCATATGTTTCTTGTAAAATATCAAGATAAATTTCTTTAACACCAGATTCAGAAAAATAAGATATGGTCATGTCGTAAGTTCCACTAGCCGCTAGACAGCACCGGCATACATCCGGCCGAGAAATCCACGTTTTTGTGTAATCTAAATTCATTTTTATTCATTAACTCTGAAAATTGTTATATATCAGTGTTTTGTTTTTTTCTTAACAAAACTGACAGATGTTAGTGTTTATAACCAAATGTCAAAACTCTGACTATGGGACAAATCGATTTATTTGAAATTTAATGTTCAGTGTTTTAATTTTAAAACCAAATTAAACCACTCGAACATGGTCCAATCCGCTGAGGGAGAACCATAAATAAGTGGAAGAAAAAATAGATTTAAATTATTTCGGTTTTCGAAAACTAACCTCAGGAAGATATTAATGTAATTCTATATTAAAAAGATTTCAATGTAATTTTATATTTACAATTTCACAATTTTGAAGAAGATAAAAGATTAAAAATATCG